TCAATACAGTTAATTCTGAGCCAAAATATGTCATTTACAAGTTCAAATCCTGCATTGATTTCCGAATAACCCAATTAGTAGTGGCCACAAGAAGCATGTCCAGCTCTGCGATTACTCAGTTATAGGTTGCCAGGGTTTCTCGAAGCAGACGTTGGAGGTGACTCTAAACCATCCTCGTGCATCTCTTTCCCAATCACTTGAATGCAATATTTTGGCCGAATCGACGTGCTGGATATAATTCGTGTTTGTGCACTCCAACAGACGCATACGTATGTCTCCATACATGCAGAAAATACATGTCGACCCGGCATAAACAGGGAGTCGACGTCTTATGATCAGCTCATAGCATTTTCAAATTAGCCCTCGGTCAGCGTTTAATCTCCTCTAGGTCATTTGTATAATGCATACCACACAGCTTTGCAGCTGCCGGGATGGTGGTCTTTCAGTAAGGAATCTCGCCAATGAATGAAATTTATGTTCCGTTCAACTACGAGTAACGTCCCTGGTCGAAACAGAACTCGCCTTATTCAACACAGTAGCAACGGACGTCGGCTGTTAGTTCTTTGCACAGGAGTGATTTTCCTACCCGCAGACTTGGGACTACGGACCTCCCTCATATGGGGGATCAGGCGTCGGTTAGTCTCGAGGCCACGTGGCGGGTCCCCAGGAGGCGGATAAGGGGTTAATCGCGGACCAAAAGCGACATTTGCTTCTCTGAGACGCAGATGGATCCAGAGAATGGACTCCCTGTTTCTGCTGCGCCGATTTGGCACATACTTTCTGTATTTGCTAGGCGTATTCATGCATGCGTGTGTGAGTGCGTTCTCACTTATGCGGATTGTATCCTACGAGTCGATTCGGCGAAAAGCCTGCAATCAAGTGACAGGGAAGTATATGGGAGGCGGTTAGGAGTCTTCTCCAACAAATAAGCTCCATATCCACTCTGGGAGACACTGGCAAGCTACTCGTGAGCATACCGAGCCCCACATTCAGAGGCCAGCAAGCTATACGTAAGTATCAAAAAGCCAAAAACAGTAAAAGAAACGGGCCTCATTCCCTTGACCCCGAAAGAGCTCCTAATTCTGCAGCGTTGGGTAGGACGAGTACGGAGAGGCTGCTAAAATCTCAGGACCAATGGAAGCTGCCTGGATTTCAAAGAACAATGGTGACGATCTCTACCTCCAGTGCACGTACACTTGCATCCGCGTCCTCGATAGAAGACTTGCTCATGCAAGCAAGAAGGATATGGTACGACGTCACCGGCCTGGCCAAGACGAGACGACGACACGCATTCAACGCCGTTTACGACACCGGAGAACAACTGTTCCTCGGGAAATGCGACAGGAGAGGAGTACCGGCGGCTTCGGCGTTCTCGTCAACACGAGTTTGTCCATGAGCATCGATCGAACAGCTTACAACCCGGATCGGACGTTTACGATTAAAGAAGATGTGGATCAATGCCGGCTTTGACGGTCTTCGTGGTCTGCGCGACAGCAAACTATGACGAAGAAGAAGTGGAGGCGTTCCACATGGATTTGGAATTCTACAAAGAAGACCATACATTCTTCAAGGTTGTCATTGGAGCTTTTAACGCGAACATTGGACCAAGAAGAACGTCTAAAGAACGTCATATTGGGACCCGCGCATTAGAATGGAACGAACAGGGTGAGCAGCTATTTGAGTTTATCATGGCGACAAAGACCATCCGTGGTAACTAGCAATTCCAGAAGCCTCACCTTCAATGCTGGACGTGGGAGTCTCCCAATGGAGAGTACCATCACGAAATAGACCACACCGTAGTAAACAGAAGGTTTTGCCTAACTGATATCACTGTTGTCCCAAAATTGTAGACGGGATCAAATCATGGTCTCCTTCGTGCAAGATTCTATTTCTCAAGGAAAGGAGAAAAAGTCGCTAAATTCAAAAACGAAGTCCCAGAACAATAAACTGGCACTTATTCAATTCATTAGTCGGCTATTGGGAAGATACCGTTGTCGACAACACCGACAAAGAATGCGATCGGCTCATTCAACATCTTCACGTTAGCGCTATGAAAGGTCAGAGTTCGAAAGTCACCAAGAGACGTCTGTCTTCAGAAACACACGAGCTGAGACGCCAGTGTGGAATCGCACGAGTTGCAGGCAACCGCGAACTAACGTCCGAACTTGCAAAACAATGCAGAGAGGCGATAAAAGATCTTAGAGAGACAAGAGCTGCAGTAATGGTCGAATCTACAGAGGCTAGGAAAAGCATTCGCAAAGGCCAACGAAGCTTCGCCAATTACAAGACGAAAATGGTTGCACTCCGGCCACCCAACGGAACAGTGACAGCATCCAGAAAGGCAACGGAGAAAATCATTCACGAATACTACTTGGATCTCTTCGATAGCCACGTCCACCTTCCGTCATATGAAATAAAGGAAGATGGATATGTTGTACAACCGGTTCTGTCTTCCGAAATCTGACATGCCAATTCGTCGGTGAAAAATCGTACAGCACCAGGTCCGGACAGGATAAAACCGGAACATCTGAAGAACCTTCCGCCAGTTCTCATAAACACACTGGCTTGGCTCTTCACACATTACCTGTATGAATGCAGGGTCCCTTCTCAGTCGAAGACCAGCAAGACCGTGCTATTGTTCAAGAAGGGTGGCCTACACGATATCAGCAACTATCGCCCAGTCTGCTTGCTGTCTGTCGTCCACAAACTTTTCACTCTAGTCATCTTAAACAGGATTGACAGAACACTGGACAAAGGACAGCCATTTGAGCAAGCAGGGTTTCAAAAAGGATTAGTACGTTGGGCCCCATCTAACGATAACAAGGCTCATTGAAGTGTCGCGAGAGTACTAAAGACCACTCTGTCTCACTTTCATCGATTTACAGGCCTTCGATTCAATTGAGATAGAAGCATTCATGGAAGCCCTTGATAGTCAAGGAGTCCCTACTCAGTACATAAAGATTCTTCGTGAGCTGTACAAAAACCTCACAACCAAAATATCACCATTTTACAACGATATTAACATTGACGTGAAAAGAGGAGTTAGGCAAGGCGATACCATCTCTCCAAAATTATTTGCGGCCACCCTCCAGAACGTCGTGCGAACATTGGAATGATATAATATAGGAGTGAAAATCGACGGTAGGTGGTTACACCAACTTGGGTCTGCTGATAACATCGTTTTTATAACACCAAACATTAGCCAAGCGGAACGTATGCTTGCCGACTTTGACAGGGCCTGTGGAAAGATTGGTCTTCGACTAAATCTCACAAAACGATATCTATGAAGAACGGATTGGTTACGTCTGCTCATTCACGCTCAACAAGATGAATATCTCCTAATGCTCCATTTATGTCTAACTAGGTCGAGAATTCTATATGGTGCACGACTTAGTTCCAGAGCTGAGCAGAAAGAAACCAGCGGCTTAAGGAGCTTTCAAGAGCATCGAGGATGTAGTGAAGAGGACAAAGAACACCGGACTCCGCGCCCACCTTTTCAACGGTACTTCTTACCCTAATGTATACGACAGAAACCTGGTCGCTGGGTAAGTAGGATGAAGGATCACTCAGCGTTATCGAACGCTCAGTCGAAAGGACGATGCTACGAGTATCCCGTTACACACAAATAAGCGATGGATTCGAAACTCCGGCCTGTGTTAACGATCAAAAATCAAAGATGCCGTTTTCTACGCCAAGCAGTCGAAGATAAGATGGGCCGGACACGTAATGGGTATGAATGATAACCGATGGACAACAGCCGTTAGTGAGTGGATTCCCCGGGATGTCAAACGTACTGCAGGAAGACCACCGACCCGATGGTCAGAGTTCTTCATGAAAAGGTTTAAAGAAAGATATGATGCTCGACGAGTCCCTAGAGCCAGAAGAACCCACTGGGTTACTCTTGCACGCGACAGGAAAAGTGGAAGATTCACTGGCGCCCGCTCGAGTCACTCGACGATCAACGGGACTACAGGTGATACAGGTGATGGACTTGGGAAGTTCTCTTGTCCTTCGACACATTTATCGTAAAAGTTCGACAGTCTTTTTACGTCTCAAATTACTACCTTGTGTCATAGATATATTGGTCGAACTCCATAATCGACCAAAGAGTTTTAGAGGTAGGGCTTCCACATCATACATTTGCATGTAAACAATAACAACGTCCACATGTTTTCCTTTAAATCTGTTTATTTCCGAAGTGATTTCAGAAATTCCCATGGAAACTTTTCAGAAAACGAAAGCAGAATGGTCACAATTCGTAATCATTAGATGTGCAGGGAGACAATTTTACAAGTGGAAAGTAATACCATCTATCGCAAAGTATGGCAATAGGTGACAAGAAAACCACTACGCTATGACGAGCTATTAATAGATAAATAAATCTGCAAACAAAGTGAATATGACGTGGCAGGGCTATTAATATCTGGTTTTCTATAATCAAATAAGGAAGACAATACCCTATTATGGCTAAGTATCACAAAAGTCAGTGAAACAAAAAAAAAAACAGTGTTGAGAACCTGTGGGATGTTTTTTACAGGATTAGAGGAAATAAATGGCGAATAGAAAAAAATTATGTCTATTTCTTTCTAAAAAGAAAGCCATTACTACAAATTTTCTTCTCTAGAAAAATTTTCTCTAGACATATTATGCTTGTTTTTCCGAAATAAACTAGAACCACACGTCATCACATATTGCTTTCATCACATTTGAACCAGTCAATCCACATAAGTACCGCCGAGACTTTACATAGTAAGTAGATAGATATTACTCACGATATTTTTAGTAGGCGACATCGCACATCGAGGCGTTTTCGATGCCCTTCAAAATAGTGGTGGCAAAAAACGTATGAGAGATTCACTTAAGTATGAGAGTAATTAGAAAGTAATAATCCTACGTTAAGTACGTATTCCAATGTTCTTGACAGCTGAGTTAAATACATATAAAAAGAAATGTTTCAACCACAGAGCCATCGGTTTCGTGGTTAACTTCAACACTGCTTCTCATTGAACGCCTTTTGTAAGCACTTCAACGCATAACGAACACACTCGAACACGTTTCTCTTCTCCAAATTTGGCTATAGGCATCGTTACCTCCGAACATTTTGCGCATACGAGACGACCACAATGCCTTAAAAACCTTCCTTCTCAACACTATAGTCAATGTTGCGGTCATTATTAGCCTACGTAATGGATCTTAAAACACTAAGAAGTTTCAAGCAAACGTTGTTGGGTCGAAAACAGAAGTGAGAATTTGATCCAATATAACCAAATGTGAAAAAACTAATGAAATTATACCAGAAGCTGTAACAAGGTAGAAGTTTCAAATTTGTAGAATTACTTGGCTTGACAGCGAACTAATTGCAGCTATAATAAATATTGCTACTTACCGACAATGGTGCTTTCTGACTGTAATCGAAAATCGCACACCACAATCACAAATATCCCCGTCTGACCAGCGCGGTTCTTTCTCAAGCGAATCTGACAAGCGCTTTTTTATGGTTTCCATAATTGAGGATTTCCACTCCATAGAAAACCAGTTCGATAAAGTACAAACCAAGCAATCGAAAGAGCAACAATCTTGTAGGAGTTTCATAAGTGAATATTGTATCCCCGTCAGAATTCCGTGCTCCCATCGTTGCACCATAACGAAGAAGACAACGACACACGTCGCCATTCCCTACCATGTACGCCAACATCAGTGCTGAAACCACGAGAACTTGTTCAGTACTTGGTCATGTGGAGACACTGCAGGCTTAGCACAAGCAGAAATCTGGTGTTTACAAAAGTTAGTGAGCGAGAGTAGAAACAAAAAATTGTAACAGATTAGGAATAAAACGACAAAATGTGACCACCATAGAATGACCGTGTTTATAATTCCAAAAAATACCAGTATTTCCATCCGCATCACGCAAATCAACATATGCGCTAAAGACTTTTTCTGGCAGCGCTCGTGCTTCCCTTCTCAGAAGCAGCTCACATATTTCGACTGGTGCTGTTCGAGATTGAACTTTCTCGGTAGTCAACATCGCACACAGATGCAATGCCGACTGTCCACTAAAAATAATTTCGATTAGATAGAAGACATATCTACATTAATACATTCGTGATATTTTCGACGCATACTGTCTACATGTGACGAGAGAATAGACATCATAAACGCTATAGTGTCCATTTTCAGCTAAGCGGGTTCCCTAATTTATACGGTCACTAGTCTAACACTACATATATATATATATATATATATATACATACATACATACATACATGTATGTATATTCATTAGAGAAGTGATAGAAGACAGGTCAAAGTACGACTTGTCGGAGCAGACGAAGCACTCCTTGTAATTAATGATTTACAAAAAAAAACCTTGTTTTAGGACATGTTCATTGCTCGGTAATTTTGCTAACAATTAACTGTTACTTAATTTTAATCCCATGATAAATTATTGTTACTTGTATGGAATCTGCGGGTACACAAAATACCAAAATAAACCTAATAGAAGCTGCAAACACTTCCAAATACCTACAGCAATATTTTGCATTATGAACCACAGTAAGCCGCAGTAAAAAGATACGTACCATTCATAACCACAGAAAGTCTCTTCTACAATTCCGTGATTTTCACAACACCTCAAGTTCTCTAGTTATCCAAGAATTCTTTATTGTCCATAAAAAAGCAAAGGCTGAAAATTACGCGTCGTCGCGAATGTATTAAAAAGTGAAAGGATTAAAGCGCTTATACTACTACATAGGGGTGCGTGGCGCAGCGGTCGGAGACGCCCTACAACATACACGTGCATTTAATTCCCACGCACATGGCCCACCAAGCCTTCGATCCCTCCGGAGTCGGTAAATTGGTCACAGACTTGTCTGGGAGGATAGCAGCACTGGCTCGATGCATCAGTAGGCCACCGCGAGTCATTGTAAAGGCCAGATATGCATTCAATCACCTTCAAACGATGCTTAATGAAGTCGAATGCATGGCGCATCGATCAGGAATTGATCAACGCCGACAGCGTTAACCTTTATTATACTATAACATAGCTATTAGAAAGGTTTTTGGGTTCTGTACAGCATATTCAAAGTCTAAAAATCGAATTTGAACAAGGAATTCTCACTTCTTATTTAGTGAAAAACCGTCAACACTTGAGTTATCCAGCAACACTTTCACACAATCTAAACTGCCATAGCGAACAGCAACTGACAACGCTGTAAACGGTTACTCATATAAAACAATAAAACAATAGGAAGGTAGAAAAGGTCAAAAGATCAAAGAAAAGGGAAAGGAGAATGGGAAAAGAAAGAGCGTAGAGATAAAACAGTATTATTCTCTCGCGGTAGATAAGATAAAAAGGAAATAGAGATGAAACAGATAATAATCGAACCATTACCGTTCTCATGCCTGTCATCCACTTGATTTGCGTTAGCTGCATTTTCCAACAGAATTTCAGTATGATGCGGGCGGTTTCCACGAACTGCAGCGTGTAACGCAGTACTACCATCTTTTGCTGTTACGTTCACATCACAGCCAACAAGTAACTGGAAAGTTCGACGGCTACAAACTACAACTACAATGAAAATGCAAGAAGGAATTAGGTACTCCTAAGAGATAGAGCTAAAAACATACTAAATTACGCAAAATCAACTCATTGTCGACATCTGCAGCATAATGTAGTGCGTTACGCCCCGATCCATCGGTCGCACGAGTAGCATCGCTACTGGTGCTTAGGAGAAATAGCACACTTTCAAGATCATTTAACTTCACCGAAGTATGAAGCAGATTTTCACCTTAAAATAAAAGTAACGAGTTAAAAAGCAATGTTGACAGCAAGAAAAACACTTTTGAACATCTCATTGGCGAACAGAACAATGTGACGAAAACAATGGGCCTCAAGCGTTTAGATCTACTCTATACATAGCTAAGAGTTTACCTATGTAAACAGGACACTCAGATCACCCATCCTTACACGGTAACACTTAATATAACTCCCAGCCTTTCTCCAATTCCTCTCGTTGTTTCGCAAATGCTTATTTGGGCGCGGGTTCATCAGCTGTTTGAGGATTTGCCCCCTCATTTACATAGTGAACACTGGCTGGGCGTTGCTTTTTTTACAACACAAGAATGAAGTGCTAGAGTGTTTTCAGGTCTGTATCATAGGATTTGGGCATCTAACAAGGATGAAGAATAGGCTGACCACTATGCGATTAAGACTTTCTCAAGATGTCAACGTCTGTTGTGGTGCCATCGATTTTTCGAATTAGTAAATCAATCGGCCAAGAATAATAAACCAAAACGACAGTGGAAACTGCTTTTCTCGACTGATATTCGAAGTAGTTCCTTTACATAGCATCTCAGTTTTAGTTAGAAAGAAAACCGTCGTTAGAAAAGCAGCGCATTATGAGCGGAACATGATGAATTAGGTCTCCTCCACAAAAGAAAATGTTGTACGCAGTTGATACTTCCGATAAACCATTTCCTAATGGGTCCGATGATTGGGTACCTCGCAGAAAAAAAGAACTCTACAGTAAAGCCATAAAAGGCCTGTCAACGCCCGATGGCATGGAAACCGATTATTTACGACAAAAACACTTTGAACACTTCCGGACATAAGAGGAGCTAAAGAAACATCAAGTAGAAAGGTAATAACTCCTCAAATTCCAACGGTGACGTTAACATTTAATACGAAAACAGATGAAATTTGTTAGAAGCAAGCTGTTTACAGTTAGTACTATTAAAAAACCCTTACCATTTCCGTTAGTTTGCAGTGCAACATGAGGTAGTCTCTTTATCATAGCTTTGGCAAGCTAAAAAGTAGCAAATTATTCCAAGAACAACCCTTCTGGTTCTCAATGCATGTCGAAAACTTCATAAATTGTTGGATGATAAAAGAACTGCAAGTGCAACCCATGGATATCTTTGAGATACCATTGGGTTACTCAGTTTATTAAAATACTCTTCTTGTAACGGCTAATAATAAAAATACCACATGCTGTTTGGAAAAAAGTGCTTGTGAAAATGGAGTGTGCCCAAATTTATCCCGTATGGACAAAAATTCAACATCATTGGCTTTTAAAAGTTCCGATAATGCAATGTGATTTCGTTCTTGAACACAAATATGGCACGCTGTACGACCATGTGCGTCCTAAAAACTAAAATTCGGGGTCCAATGCCAGCGAAATAAACAACGGTAAGTAAACCTGAACATTGAGATTAGTCTTGCTAGAAACAAGAGCAGCCACAATTTTATTCATCTGAGCAGATACAGCTCTGTGAAGAGGTGTTTCTTCCACCAAGTTGTTAGAATCGCGTGGAACTCGTACAGCATTACCATCACATCCACTACAAAAAAATTCTTAGCTAACAGCAATGAAAAACTGCAGGCAAAAATTCTCTCTTGATTTTAAAATTTAACGGAGAATTACTACACAATCGGAAATCCAGAAATATGAAGTATCTATACTAGTGCTTCTCTTATAAACAGAAGCATTAAATAAAAATACCTCTTTATAAGAAAAACTGCTGCTTCTTCATCAACAATGTCAATGAAATGGTGTAACATTGTCTGCAGGTATAGCCCATCTAACGTTACGGATTCCAAATCACACCCCAATGATACCAAAAGCTCAGCACATTCATAATGACCTTAAGTGTAAATATTGTGAATCGAACTGATAAGAGCGAAAACTTAAACATACATGAAAGGTGACAAATAAGTAGGAAGCATATTCGTACCTTTGCTAAGAGAATGCATTAACACCGTGTAACCAGACCCGTCATGAGTCCGCTCGTTAATGTTAACCCCAAGACCGCAAATTATTCTCAGAGTGCTAATTAGACCATATAATGCAGCCAGTTCCAAACAACTCCTTCCTTCTGAATCCCTGAAATGCAGTGGCGGAATAAAGGAAATATTGAGAAACAGAACTTAGGACTCACTTAGCAGAGTGATTTGCACCTAGCTCCAGAAGAAAAGAGGCTCCTGCATCGTCTGATAAAAGAATCCGCTGAATCAATAAAGTGTTCCCACATGAATCTTTCTCTTCAATCTGGCCACCAACTGAAAATCTAGTTGTTAACACCTAGGAAATCAAGTAATACCGTGCCATACCTGAAACGATTATCTTTGCGCAATCCAAAGCGTTCGTATTTAGAGCATGACTAAGAGCACCACACGAAAACCAATCGATATCTATAAATAAAGATATTTCCATAGTGTCAGCAAAGCCGTATCACAAAAATTCTGACTAAAAATAGATGTATATTGATTTTGTGGTAAACCTTTGCATTTTGACGCAAAAAGCTCCAGCATTTCAGTGCCTCTGGATATCAAATCAGGTAGGAATGAATCCTCATTGGAGTGAGACAGTTTAACAGACGCATAATTGTCTAATAGCAGATTTACGATAGCCAGGTTATTCTGCTTTACCGCGATCTCCAACGGAGTTACATTCTACAACAGAAGACTTCGAACCGGTGTTAATTAACAGAAGATCTAAAAATATTGGGAATTGTATAAGAATACAAATTGCGTTACCTCGTTATTCTCTACATTAACGGATGCTTGGTTTTCCAGTAAAAATCGTGTGGTTTCAAAATTGTTTTTGCTCACGGAGATATGGAGGAGTGAATCTAAAACAATGGTGGGGAAAGGCGAACTATTTGGTAAGGGAGGACAAAAAGCGCTTCATTCCCATTTCCAACTAACTTCCATTGACAGTTTGGTTCACAACAGGAACTCCTCCATATTTCACGATTTCTTTAGGAATATCTAAATGACTTCTGTCGAAAAGGGCAACGAATAGAGTTGTCTTTCCTTCGTTGTCAGCCTTCATAACATCAGCACCGGAACGAAGCAAAAGCTTTGCTAAGTCGATGTTACCGTACGTAACACTTTGAAATAAGGCTGTTCTAAAACAAATGCGGTATAAAAGAGGAAATAAAAAGCAAAAAAAAACACGAAGCCGCACCGTCCTTGAACATCGACTGCATCCAAGTTCATTCTCTCCAACCATGACTCTATCCATACAGCCATAGCGGACTGATTCACTTTAATACAAGCAATGTAATGAAGGATGGTCGATCCAGTTTTTTCGTGGATAAAATTCAAATCAGCGCCAGCTCTCGCCAAGAATTCGCAAGCCGACGTGTCGCCTAATAAATTTTTTAAGGATATATTCACATTTACTAATAAAATACTAGCATTAGAATTAAAGCATTAAATATAGAAACAAACCTGCCTTTATCTATCATGTGCATTAGGATTGAGTAACCTGATTCATCTACAGAGTTATAATTGGCATTCTTTTGCAAGAGCTGAGATGCCATATTCATATGCCCACATACCAAGGATAGCTCGAGGGGCGACAATCCCTGTTCATCCACTGTATTCACCACATTTGAAATCTAGACCAATAATATATACGACAACGAAATGTGCCGATGGTAAGGCATAAGGAGTAACGGAACGAGATGAGCTCCAGACTACCTTTGCATCGTTCTCAATGAAATAAAGAAGAAGGACATCCTCGCGATTTAATCGAATAATAGAGTGAAGTACGTGCAATGAATTTCTGAATTAAATAATGAATTATAACAGTAACAAATCCACAATGATGCTGTGGTATTTGCAAAACTCCGGACTGCAGGTGTCTGCGGTGGCGATCGAACACGTTATTACCCTTTCCGGGGGCAAACGCGTTCACCACCACACTTGTGGATCCTTCGCTTAGCGTCTCTTGCAATAGGGTGTTCGATCCCCATTGCAGCCAACTGCGGTCCAAAGTTTTGCAGATATCTCAGCATCATTGTAGTTATCACAATAATGTTGTAGCATACAAACAGCAGATACTTTCGATACGTCAAATATCGTTTAGTCCCACTTTTTCAGCAGTCGAAGAAGTGACACGGCCGACAGCTGAGCGAATTTCTCGGGCTTGAAGTCCTTCCAGTGAGCAGCAACAACAGCAGAACAATAGTCGCGCAGCTCCACAATGTCTTCCATATCAGCGAATCCAAACAAAGAGACACAGTTTTCAGAATCTACTCGAGTTTTCAACAACTGAACACATCTGAACAGAACAGTCTTCAAATAGGAGATCTGAAATGAACTAGAGACATGTAGATACAAAACCGTACCTCGACTGTAGCGCTCCAAAATGAAATCGAAACGCAACTTCACAGACCTCTTGGACAAGACTCGTCTCGAACAGTGCAGCGTTGCGTGGCAGACAATCCGTATACATCCACCGGTACACCACATGGAAGGCTTTGAAAGTAACACCTGGAACAAAGCAATTAACCAGTTTGCATAGCAGTCCGTCTGATGACTGAGAGATTCAACTTGATGGTTTAGATGGTGTGGAGCTGTGTACCTGGCAATTCAATGAAGTCTCTATTCTCTAGATCATTCCAGTATTTGCTCCGCATTGTCAACAAGAATTTATGGCATTTCAATTCGTCTTCATCGAGACGTATAACGATATCACTAAAAGAAACGTTTAAGAAGAAAAAAACAGGACTAAAGTTTAAAAAAACACTGAAAATTTCGGCAAAATCTTAGAAAAGCTGGTAACGAAGAGATGTCCGTAACGAACTGTCGCTTTCATAAAAGATAAGCTGATATTCAGTAAACTGTACACTTACATTACAACAACTACGTGAGAGAAAGATGAGATCGAACCTGAAGTTATGATGTTCGAAGAGATTCCTCATGGTATCGAACAGTTGACCGGCAAAACAGCCGGTATCTGGACTTCCGTCAGGCTCAATCCTAGCTTGCAATACCGCACACTGCTGCTGAAGCCGGGCATATTTCTCTTGGAGCTCCAAGTATTCCTCACGTAGTGGATCTGGATGGTTGAATGTACCCATCGGATGAACAGCGTTAAATCAGTGTCGCTCGAAACTATGTTTTTCCTGCAATTTTGCGTCAAGTGCGTAAATTCCGCAGAAACTTCATTTGGCTCCTTTTTTAAATTTTCGACTTCCTCAGCTTTTCTAGCGAACTTCATCATAATATTAACGAGATCTACGTTATAATTGATGTTGTGTTCTATTGGATCCTTCAGTTTTATGCTATGTTATTATGAAGAACGCAAGTTATTTGTCGTATTTCAGTTAATGTACGGAACTATATGTGAGATTTCCGGACCCAGTGCTTTTAATGGGCTATCGCAGCTATCGAAGTTAATTCAAGGTATTCTGGACAAAACAATCCGGAATACGAATGAGCGTGATGTAGGCGTTTTGACCGTTTTTGTTTCTTTTAATTATAAATTAAAAGCTATAAATTATAATATTATAGAATGCCAAGCGAGATATTGCAACGATTGTTTCGAACTGTCTGCCCGTCTATCTATCCGGATCGAACAGCGATGTCTATCCTCTCAGTGCACTGGTGTCCGATCTTTGTTCACTCGCGCTACTTGTGGGTTATGGAGAATCGCCCTTGGTTTGATGTGAACTAAACGGACTATGACTGTTTAGGAAGTAGAAGAAAATGGGAAGAAACTGAATAAAAGCCAGACATTTCGGAAAACATGCAGTTTTGAGTTAACGATAAGTACTCTGCACAGGTTATGTGAAAGTGGGTTTCTGTCTCCATTTAATTATCACGAGGGTATTCTACGTGACAACAATCGGTGCTTTAGAACGACTTTTGCACTGCTGTTCCGATTTCCTTCCGTTTGTCTCCGATATTCTCACTAAACCTTTTCTTCATTCACAATCTTGGATGGAGGACGAAGTCACAAATATTTTGATCAAGTTTGTAACTCTTTCCATATCCACGATTCCACAGGAGCAGATACGCAGTTAGTACTTGATTCACCTCTGAAACTAATTCTCTACTGCGGTCATTCTCACTTGACCATTGGTTCTTTTAGGGTTGTGGTCAGTCGTATGGAGTCGTTTCTCCCATGTCATTGGCAACAGTGGAAAATCTTCTGGAAATTATCTGCGTGTTACTGTTGCTATACTTGGGCACATTCATAGGACCGATATGACACTGGGCGAGTACGGGGAAAAGCTAATTTCTGACTTGATTGATAACTTCTTCGCTGCGCTACGCAGAACGGATATGAAAAAGTACGTTGAATTTCATTCAGAGCCTATCTGTTCACATTTAAATTAATGGATGTTTATTCGTATCCTCGTTGAGCAAACGCGAGGTGTTATTTTATCCTTGTTCACGAATAAGTTGACGTTTCGGCGGAATTCGCCTTTCTCAGAGCCTGGAAAGGTCAAGTTGACAGCAATCTATTCGGCCAAAGGCCATAACTAAACATAAAACGCTAAACCAAAAATTTTTTAAAAGAAGGGATGTTAGTTTACTGTTTGAAACCAATCCATTTAAACTCGATGTGAAGATTAGTTTCTTGGTTTACTAATGAATTTTAACGAAGTTTTCATAAAACTTTACAGTGGCCAGGGTTTTTTCACCTTCACTTTCTTCAGAGCCGCAGTGGTTCGAGTCGAATATCTATAGCAGTTATTTCTTTTTGTGGTGTAGGTCTTCGTTGTCCAACTACCTGTATCACCTGTCGTCCCATTGATCATCTATTGGTTCTAGTGGGCGTCATTAAATCTTCCTTTTCTCCTTGTCATGCACAATAGTAACCCAGTGGGTTCTGCTTGCTTTAGGGACTCGTTTCCTGAAGAACTCTGACCACATGGTCGGTGGTCTTTCTGCAGTACGTTTGAAATTCCGATAAATCCAGTCACTAACAGCTTTTAAGTCGAAGTCAATGCTGTGGAACATCGCACGAATTTCACGAATCACAATAAATTTTGGCAGGAGCATTGTTCCACAGGTCTCTTTCTTTCTCTCTCTCTCTTTCGCTCTCTCTTTCTCTCTCTCTCTCTCTCTCTCTGAGCGGTCACAGTCGCAAGACTTCATAATGCGTTCCCACATTGTGGATAGAGTGTTATTAACGTGGACCAAAAGCGGCTTTGTGCTTTCCTGAGACAGATTTATTCAGGGGATGAATGGTGAATTTTTATCTACGAAAATTGAATCCCATAAGTCAATTCGACAGATAACCTCCATTTCAAGTGGCAAGAAGGTACATGGGAATTGGTTAGCTTTCGCACTCAACAAATAAGGTCCATTAGTACAATAAGGAGGGATCAACAAGGTTACCCTTGAAGATATCCACCTCCTCACCCCACATTGAGACGTAGCAAGATACTATTGGCTACCAGTAGCCAAACACAGTAAGATAAGTGGGCCTTTTTCCCTTGATCCCTAAAGTATCCCTGACATGGCAGCGCTAGGAACGGTGAATACGGAGAGGTTGCTCAAAAAGTACCGGAGAAGAACTGTTCTTCGTAACGAGCGACAACAGAGGAGTTGGCTGGCTTAACGTCCACTTTAACACGAGTTTCGCACTGAAAAGTAATTTCTTTGAATACTAACAGCATGAATTGGACAATTACGGTTGAAGAGATGTTTTTGCTAGACCGTCCTACCTCTTCTCGTCTACCTACTAACATCAAGCTGTGAATAATACGTCGAAGCCTTCTTTATAGAGTTGGAGAAGTTCTGCAGAGCAAGTCACACATTCTATATGGTCATCGTTGGCGACTTCCATTCTCAATAACACCACTCTGAACGTTGGATGTGCAGCCTCTCAATGTAGAGTGCCATAATGAAATTAATTATATCGTAGTAAGTCGACGGTTTTCCCTACCAGATGTCATGGTTTTTCAAAAATTTGCACGAATTCGGGCAATATTCTTCTTCTCTCAAAACCCCACTTCGCGGAAAGGTGACAAAGCCGCAAAGTTCAAAAAATGAAATCCCAAAACTGCCGTAAATTCGGATTTGTTCACACCACTGGACAGCTGTTGGGAAATATCGTTATCGACGACATCGATGGAGAGTACGACCGACTTATTCAACATCTTAACATGAGTGCTATGAAAGCTGTGAGTTAGAAAGTCACCAAAAATCGTGTGCTTCCAGAACCAGTTGACTTGGTGCACCAATGCAGGATCGTATTGCATACAGTCAATGGCTACTGGTCCGAACTCGTAAAACAATCCAGAAATGCGATAAAAGAGGATTTTGAGAAAAGAAGAGCAGCAGCAATGGCTGACGGTGCAGAATTTGGGAACAACATTCACAGCGCCCTCCGAAACTTCGCCAATTACACAAACAAGATGGTCGCACTCCGTAGCACAGACGGAACAGTTACAGCTTCCATAGAGGATATGGAGAAAATCGTTCACGACTATCACTTTAATGTCTTCGATAACGTTGTCCGCCTGGCCTTGTATGAACGTAAAGAGGATGAATATGTTGCACTGGTTCTTTCTTCCGAAATCGGACACAAGACAAGATCTGAATAATGTTACGCTAGTACTCATCCGTTGCCTATCAGAATGCAAGATTCCTATTCAATAGAAGATCAGCAAGACTGTTCTTCAAGAACGGTGACCACCACGGTATCGGCAACTTTCGCATAATCTCTATCCTGTTTCTTCTGTGTAAACTTTCTCTTGGTGCCATCATCAGCAAAACTGACAAAACACTAAACGATGGGGATTCAAATGTGCAAGTTTGGTTTCAAAAAAGATTCATTACGTAGAGCACATCGACATGCTAAAGAGATCCACCGAATTATCGCACTAGTACAAGAGACAGCTCTATCTCACTTTCACCGAGTTAAAGAACATGCTGGACTCCATCGAGATTGAAGCGGTCATAGCAGTTTTGTAAAGACAGGGTATTTCAGTACACAAAGATCTCTCGTGAGCTATACACAAACTTCACGTCAGGGATATCACTTTCCCTTAAAGGTATTAATACGGACATGTAGACAAGAGTTCGACAAGGCGATATGACGTCTTCAAAATTATTTACAGCCATCCTCGAGGACCTCATGATAAAATTGAAATAAACAACATAGGAGTCAAAGTGGATGCTCTGCAATTTCGCCGACTTTACTTCTCTGTTAATATCGTTCTTATAATATTAAGCATTTTCCGGGCCAAGCGAATGCTAGCCGATTTCGACAACGCTTGTGGAAAGATTGGTTTTTGTCCAGTTCTCGCAAAAACGATGTTTATGAAAAACGTATTTGTTTCCGATGTGTCATTCATGCTTTGCGGGATGGAGATCTCCGAATGATTATGCTATGTATGGCTAGGTTTGGAGGTCAGCATGATGAACGAATTAGCAACAGAGTTGCGCAGAAGGAAACCAGCGACTTGGCGAGCTTCTGAGAGTTTTGAGGACGTATTGAAGAACGCTACGGACATGAGGACTCAATGGCCACCTTTTCAACTCCGCGGTTGTTCTTATCTTAAGGGACACGTGTGAAACGTGGTCTTTACGGATGCACAATGGAAGCTGATTTAAGTGAATGTTGACTGCTATCGAGGATAGTGCTGGTTGTATCCCGTAACATAACTCCACTAAATTCCTTGAGATGTCAAACACATAGCAGCCATAACAACGATCCAACAGTGTAGTTCACAAATATTATAGAAGAATGATATGCCGCTTGACGACCGTCTAGAGCGAGCAGAACCGCTGAGGTGCTCTTACAAGTGACTGGTGAAAATAGAATTTTTACTGATGCCTCCTCCAGGGAGTCACTCGACGACCCACGTTAGAACAGGTGTTAGAGGTGAGCAACCCGGTCTAAGCTTATTGATGAACAAAGATATTGATGTGAGGTATATATGTGGCAGTTTTGCGTCAAAGTTTCCTTTGGATTATGCTGTTTCTTTTTTTGGGACATAAACAGTCCTAAAAATGCAGGTATTTTATTTTGTCTTTAATTCAGCGGTGATATTCTTTGTTTTAGGTGGAGAATGCAGATTGAATATGGTCTCCAGTTACTGGTGCTACTTATAGACGACTGGGGCATAGAATTCAGAGAGAAACTTCTTGACCATTGTTTACCACTGGCTTCTTCGTTAGTGCATGATCTCGACTTTTCTGCTGCTTCATCCATTAGCTTGGTTAGCAATGTAATCGTTTATTTGGGATTAGATGGCCAAGCATGCGATTGATTCATATAATCGTCATAGCCTACTTAGGACTCTGAGATGACATGATTTTTATGCCTAAGGTTTCAAATATGTTCTATTTTGTTGAATCTTTCTAATTGTCGAAAAGTATTTTCTAATGTTTTCCAGAATAGTACCTGGCCATTCTTTGATCGTCTGTTTCACCTAGCTGTACCCGACTGCAAACCAAGTTGTCTCGTACGAAGTGAAACGTATTATCTTGCGCAATCCGCTTGTGAAGTCATCGTAAAGTGGGGTAATATTGAAACTAAGCTTGTTTTTAATCATATTTACTTTGACGTTCAGTTCTCTATCTTCAATATCATCGAACCGTTCTGACTATGAACTCCAAAACGAATATGTGCCGCTGTTAGCTAGGTGTGTGTACATATGTGCGTGTTTAAGTGTCTGCTAGCAATGTTAACTTTTTTATTTACTGCCTATTGCAATTTTTTAAGGTAGAGTATTATGTGAGAGACAGCCACAATGATGCTGAGATATTTGCAGAACTCCGGACCGCAGGTCTGCGGTGGGGGAAGAACGCGCTAGTACCCTTTCCGAGAGCGAACGGGTTCACCACCACATCATGCGCATTCTTCGTTTCGCCTTTCTCTCGGCTAGTTTTTTACCTACCAGTGCAATTAGCAATCACCCGTCAACGGGATTGATCTGGGAAACCTAAATCAGCAATGAACCCAGCTAAGCTGAGAATGTAGTCACTGGTAGATAGAAAACTAGCTGAGAGACAGGCGAAACGAAGTACCCACATGGTGTGGTGGTGAACGGGTTAGCCCCCGGAAAGGGTAATAGCGCGTTTGTTCCCCAACGCAGACACCTGGGGTCCGGAGTTTTGCAAATATCTCAGCATCATTGTGGTTGTCTGCTAATAGTTTTTTGAGACTTGGTAATTCTTTGTTCTGTGATTGGAGATGCGACAAAACAGTTGTGAATTGCAGGCTCGTAATCATAGCTGATACCAATCACTCGAATGAATTGGATCATAGCGTTATTGCGTACACTCGAAATATCAAACGTCGAAAAACGCAGAAATTCCTAGATGTAAGTATCTCTCATTTTCTTCACTTGATTGCACCGTGAAAATGGCTTAAAGGTAACCATTTTAGGTCATTAGTGATTGGAGTTCTGTCGAGAATACTGAGTATAACGAGCATCGTCACCTCGTTGTGTCGTGGCTATTCGTTGGATATGAAATAGCGTCGCGATGGAGTCATCGCATTGAAAGCGATTGTTTAACCTCTATGGCAATGAAACTTTGGGCTGGAAGAGACCGTATTAAAGTGTAATTGTTTAAAAATATGTTGTGCTTATTTAGAATTGACTAGAATGTAAATTCTTGTGACATCGATTTAGAGATTGGCAGTTTGGGCCGTACTGCCGACTATTAAACATCCTTCTTAGGAAAGGCGCGTTAGACACCTTATGTAACGAAGAGTTAGAGGTATTTTACAACCCACTGTTTTATTGAATAGTTTTCTTTTTCGAAGTGAAATTGTTCGTTATCCTAAAATTTAGACGGTGAGAAGTTTATGGAAGTTCGCGCTATCTTCAGCTCACGCTCGTTTTAGTTTCGAATCAGCATCATCACTGATGATATCATTATTGAAGAGATTTCCTTCGGTAAGAGCAGCTTAAATGATTCACCGTCGTATTTCTTTTTGTTTCATTTTTTTAAAGTTTATTTCTAGGATCTTTACAACGAAATAATTTATTATTGTGCTCATTTAATCGTTCATAGGTAATTGGCGATGAGAGTGACATAACTGATGTGATTTGTGATATTTTCTCACGATGGTCGACGCCTCATGGTCCGGTTTTGTACGATCTAGTTGCTACTCTTCTCACTGAGTTTGAATTCGATGAATTCGCGCCTTTCCCTGGAGTTACGGATAAGAAGAAAGGATTGAAGGAATGGAGGTACGTACGCAAACAGTTTTGATTGGTTCAATTTGTTCAACTAGAGCTTTCGTGGTTAAATCAATACAGCATACTAACTCTAATATGACATATCCCCATATAAGTCTAAAGAGTAACTTAAAATTCCTAGCTTATAATAGCAGAATTTCGTTGGAAAAAATCGCGAAATTACCTCGGTTTCATAAAGTTATCTCATCACCGCACAAGTGAGGCTGGTTAATTTTTTTAAAACTTTACATTTTAGTCGTAGGTTCATTCTTTTGCTACACTGTTATGTTTTCCAGTCATGACAAAGTTAGCGTAGCAAGCTGTAGAGTTTCTTTTTTTATTTTTTTAGTTAGTCTTAGACGTTAGACGGGTTGGTCTTCACTTCTACCGTGCGGATCCCAACACTTCTCACATTCGATTCGTTTCCTGTCATCCATTATACACGAAGATCCCAAATTTTACGTGTGGCTTCGGCTACTACTTGAGAATCTTCATTTCATCTTGATTGATGTAGAATACTGGTCGACCCGATTCTCCCTGGAGTCCTGAGATAGCCGGACTGGCAATTTCCCGATCCCGGAGAAATGAGAGGCTTGGTTGTCCCGAGCGGAATCGAACTAGCGCCGTGCTCATGGTGACTGACATCACTACCACTGTGCTATCATCCTCATTCTGGAGTTTCTACGTTTTTAACGTTTTTAAAATAGATCCTAATACAGGTAATAAACTGTTACCAATGGTTTTGATTCGTTGAAGGCGTTATGGTACGGTGAGTAACGTTTCCTGACCCTATGATTGTTTTGCGGAGTACTCTTGTGATAATGTTCAAGCAATTGTGACATGTTGGGAGGTAATGATAAGGGGTCGTATTTTCTTAGATTTGAATCCTATAAATTATGATGCAATTTCGGTACCATCCTCGGGGTTTTATCGAAATATCTAAGGTGATTTCAGAAAATGTGAAGAGTTGCAACGGTATTCTACACATATGCTAGCATAATTCTTCGTTTTATTTATTCATTTTCGCAGGTTCCGTTGTCAAATTGCTGAATGGCTCATAACGTATGTTGAACCGCAGTGCAGCTTGGAGGAACTACTGCTTCTCCTTTGCGGTTTTCATCCGTGTAGAACTTCGGCGGTTTCTTCAGTGCCAGTTTGTGAGTATGATTTTTCTGGTTCATAATTTTGACAGCAAATATCGGCGATTGATATTGCCGCAAGAAGTTCGGTTTTTTTATTGTTGACTTTTTGTACTCGGAAATTTTGATCATTTGAAAAATCTGCTTGTATATTTATTTATTTATTTACTTGTATATTTATCACCATCGTCAAGTTTTCCAGCGAAAGTCCAAATCGAGCGTGATTTGATATCGTTTGGACTATGCGAGAAACGCATCCTCCCTTCTGATGACAGGCCAACCATACCATTTGTTGTCATTCCTGAAATGGTTGATTATATAAGCGGCGTAATTAAACAGTTCTGGATCGATCGCGGTGGGGGCTTAGTATGTCTACATTACTTACTTAAATGTCGATAATCTATGTGTTATCTGGAGTTCCTTGTTCAGAGTTGAAAGATGAGGTACGGATTTCTTTGTGGTGCTCATATATGAACTTTTTATGCAAACTTGGGAGTGAATTCTATGCCAAAAATACCATTTTGTTAAATGTTGGTTTTAATTTTGTTTTGTTATATGTGATAAGCGTTTTTTTGTTGTTATCTTATTAAGAGAACCATTTGAAGGCAATGAATCATTGGATGAGTACGTTCGCTCTCGAAGCGAAAGCAGATATCCTCTCACAGATTCGTGCGCAGGAATTGTCTTCTGAGTTGGTTCCACTAGACCTTCTTACGGTATTGGCAACTCGTTTGGACGACTGTCCATCTCTCGCAGTGCATCTGCTGATACATGAAGTGCAGCTTCAAATATCCTCTAGGAATATTGTGCGTGAGACCACTTCAAATAAGACTTTCATCTTTTTGAAACCTTTTTCTTGGTCCGATAATACATATCTTGCATACTATAGCCCTTCTTTCATTCCATTCGTTCCCTCCCATACATCATCCACGAAGGCCTTCATATTTTTGGTGCGCATTCGGCTGTTGCTTGAGGATTTTTCCTTCTTGACGAGTTTTCTTGGCGGCTGATCTAGTCAGTGTTCCTGGAATCCTACGATAGCAATTTCAGGTGTTCCTAGATCTTGGAGCCGCAGGACAGTCTCGTGACCATAAGAAGCTTTTTGAAAAATCTAGTATTAATTTCCCGACCCTAGAGAGATGGGGGGTTTCTTAACCCTAGATTTTAGTGGAACTATGGCTTTGTGTTTACTAATCGGCGTCATAATCAGTGCTTTCTTCAATAAACTATATTCTTCAAGATCTAAATTTGTTTTTAGAGAGATGTGATGCGCTGTGTTGGTCAGTACCTCGACAAAACGGATAGCTCAAAAGTGCGTTGTGCTGCAAACCGTCTTCTGGAGGAGTTCACTAGAGATGTCGATACCGTTCCAGATCTACTCTTGCTGCTTGATGAGTGTGGCGATATCATGGAATCTAGATCAAGAATCGCGATTGCCTACAAAGTGTTGTAAGTTCTTTCTGCATGTCATTCGCTTTTTCACTTTGGCAAATTAAAGTGCTATAGAGACCTTATTGATGACGACGTAACTACAAACGAGTACGATGTTGCACAGGCCTGCATCTATCGTAAATTGTTAACAACATATGTTATGAGAGCGTCGAAGGTAAGAAAATCTGTGTTAGCATTATAGACGCAGGTAATTGATGTATAGTGGTTGATATGATGTGCGAACGGAAGTAACCTCTTTTTCAGCCAGGTGGTTGCCCTTCCATAGATCTTAAGGCCGTTAGTGCCCAATGTGTGGTACGCTACATAGATTCTCTTCCGTCATCAGTTGTGAATTGGGAATTTGTTTCAAATTTGTTGGATCGTATAGGAAGTAATGTTATTTTTACTTTGGTACGTCTCATTGGCTTTGCAGGTAACTTGTTTTACGCATGTCTACAAACGAGCGTTATATGTCCATAGCTGTAATTTCTCTGATCTGCAAAATTTTTCAATATTAACTTTTTTATTTGCTGTTTAATGCAATTTTCACTACAGGGTATTGTGCGAAATCAGCCACAATGATGCTGAGCTAAAACTCAAAGGGCAGGTTCTGCGGTGGGGATTGAACTCGATATTAACCTTTCCGGGAGCTAACGCGTTAACCACCACACCATGTGCTTCCTTCGTTTCACCTTTTTCTCAGATAGTTTCCTATCTACCAGCGCCATCAGCAATCATTCGTCAACGGGATTGATCTGGAGAGCCAAAATCACCGTGTTCCATCCCCACTGCAGACATCTGCCGTCTGGAATTTTGCAAACATCTCAGCATAGTTGTGGTTGATTTTTTCAATATTATTCTTCAATTTTTCTGAATTGGTTCGGATTAGTTTCAGATCTTCTCGTTACTAGCGTTTATATTGCTGTTACTTGTCTATTATTCGGATTTTAACATGTCCCTACCTTGTATCGTTAATGTGAATTTTAGAAACTTGTGAATCGATTGCTGTCGGATCCCACAAAATTCCATGTTCACCCGCGAATTCTCAGCGCTGTATTGAAGAACCCCAAAGTTCTTCAGGTAGGCACGAAAACCTACAATCGCTACGATTTTGTCCAAAATTTATCTACATATCTAGGCATGTGAGCAATTCATTCCTAATTTCGCACTTATATTGGACTGTCACTATAACTCCCTCATGTTAGCAGATTCCAGTCATCAGCAGCTGCCATATTTAGAGTTTGTGCTTCCTGTTTCTTTTCCAATTTTTGTTAAACAATTGTCCTTTCTGCGTGTTCAGTGTAACATCACCTCTTCGAAACGATTTTCTCGTTCAATGTCTTGGAAATGGCAACATTCACCTTATTAAAACCGGTGCTTTTCCCGCAGCATTTTTTATCAACCTCGACGTTTGCGATAGGTCTGCTTTCAGAATCCATCGTTCCTCTTTAGAATTCAAGAAGAAATTGCCGAAATTTTTCAAATTTGTTACAGACATGCACAACTTTTGATCACCAACTTTTGGCGTTCTTTTATGGATGATCCACACGAAATATTGACTTCACTATGGAAAGCGGTTAGCCAATTAGTATTGATTTGGTTGAACATAAATAATAGGTATTTACAATGCCTAACGTTTACTGCCCACTATTTTTCTGACAGGGTATTTTGTTAAATGTGACCATAAGAATGCTGAGATATTAGCAAAATTCAGAAGCTCAGCTCCGCTTTGAATCGGCGATTACCCTTACCGGGGGCTCACGTGTTACGCACGGCTCCGCTGAGGCCCTCGTGCTGCGCTTCTCTCAGCCAGTTTTTTTTACCCTAGCGGTGCGGTGGCATCAGCGTTCACTAGTCAGCGGAAATGAGCTAGGGAGTACAGATCCGAGTTGAATCCAGTTAGGCTACAGCAACAGTCGAAATCATTATGAGAACGGATACCCGTTTTTGTTTTACACAACCCGCCTTTTCGCATCCATCGACCACGAAGCTTTCCAAACTTTTCGCGTGTGGGTTCGGCCGTGACATGAGGGTCGTATTCTTTATGAATGTTGTTGAATGCTGGTGGAGTCGATTCTCCCTGGAGTCCTGGGAGCCGAATTAGTGCGTTCCCACTTGGATTATATAGTGGGATATTCCCTGAGAAGTCTGGTACAATTTCCTGACCTCGGAGAGATGAGAGGCTTGGCGATCCCAGTATGTGTTTGAACCAGCACCATGTATGTGGGGCACTGAATCACTACCATTCCACTACCTTCTATTTGATAATAGATATTTATTAACCAGCTTATACAACATTTTCTTATTGTTGGTAGGAATGTTGAAATACTTGGATCAAACTATTGATTCTTTTTTTTTTATGTTTTATTATTATATACAGGTGTGCATGAGCATCAACTGTAACGCTCATTTACTTCTCTTGCACAATTTGTTGATTACTGCTCGCTCGCCTCAAAGAAAGACCTTATCTACTTGCATGCAAAAAGGATTCGATCTCGCCATTTACTCCATTTTTTCGACAATGATTCGTGCTGCAAAGATCAGGTGCTCTAAAGTACTAATACTGCTTTGTGTCTGACTCTCTATGTAGTGTATTTCTGTTACTGCCTGTTTTGACTCGTAATTTCAGGCATCCAGACCTGGTTTGCTACATTTATAACCAAATCAGCGCCTCAAAATGCTTGTCATCGGAGGATATCTTATTTTTATCTTGTGCCGGAGACAATAGTGATTTAGAAGATCGTGAACAGATAAGCAAGATTGTCAATTCGGCTGTAGATATTTTCATTGAATGTGGCTATGCGAAGGTAAGTCATTCTCGATCGTAGTTGTTTACGATAACGCATTAATTATGGCTTTAGTTACGTACATCTTGGTTTGGGATTTTCTCTATTTGGTTACGGAAGTGTTTGGTTGGGTAGATTGCGGTCAACTTGACCTTTCCAGGCTTTGAGGATGGCGATATCCGCTGAAACGTCAGCTTGTGCGTAAATAAAAAAATAAAATAACACTTCGTGTTTAGTAAACAGGAGTATGAAGAATTAATCGATCAATGTCGAGGTTAACAGAAAGTCGGTCGTGGACATTAATTATGGGTTATAGGATATTCGAGTTTATCACTGCGGTCTGTTTTGGCAGTATTTGCATACATCACTAGAGGTACAAGTAAGACAATGGCATTCGTCTGAACCTCTAAAGAACGGCAAGTTTCTTTTTAAAATACTTAAAATAGATCTTACCGATAACTACTAAATGGTTGTTATCCTGACGTTTAATTCGATATTTCTCTGTTAAAACGCTTAAATGAGCGTATTTAGAAATAAATGTATTAAATAAATGTATTTAGTGATCATCTCTCAGCTCCTTTTTGCCTGGGATGTTCTTCCTCAGTTTCGTCATTTAATAGCACCTATTCTTTCGCTTTTTGATAATGTCACCGAAACATTTTGCGTTAGTTGTTTCCAATGCCACGATGCTGTTCTGCTCATACGAAATTACTGCTACTTGATGCTGAGCAACCCGAGGTAAGTTTTCAATTGAAATATTTAACTTGAGAATAGTTCCATGCGCAACTCTACGAAAGGCTTTGTTACAGTTAGTTTATGTCGTTAAGTAGAAATATTACTAATCATACGACAAGCCACTGCAAGCGAGATGTAGTTTAACACCTTAACAATGTCGAGGGATTTACATCTTCCCAATACGTGGGTTGAACGGTGTTTTCTGAAGTATGAATGCTAGAAAATATGAAACAGGAGTAGTTGAGACAATTAAGACAGACATTCGAAAATCGTGTCCTTTACGAAATCCACAGTTTTGAACGAAGTTTACTGACAGGTGTAGCCGCCAATCGATGCGTAGGATGAAAATATTTATGGGTAGCTATGCGTATTAGGTACTTGGGTACTTGAATGGCCCTTCCTCAATGATTGCACGGGCCCCAGCATAATTTCCACTTTTTCGGAGTCTGTCTAGTTTAGCCATTGTGGATCCCTGGAGTCATGAAGTCAACCTGGCCAAAGTCTGCCCTAGGTCGTCGCCATCACGGGTAGTCGACGCCCTTATGGATCATAGGAAGATTTGCCACAATGCAACAAGTTTGATAGTAGGGCGGTTGTGGATCCTAATATTGGTTTACTCTTAGCTGGGCTTCCTAAGGACTGATTGAACGAAACACTGACTTCTTCGCAGCTTGAGAGGCCGGCTGCGGGGGCGAATCTCCTCTCTGTACATCCGAGCTCGATACCGAGGTACACCTCCCAGCTACGAAGAGGCAATAAACCGTTGAGAGGTGTTTGTGAGAGCATTTGTAATCGAATATTTAGTTTACCGTATGGCTCGTCCTCTGACACAATGGTGATCTCCACTGTTGTTTTTTATCGTTATTGTCTCCTCTAGTTGATTGTTCTCCTATTTGACATACATGCTAATACCATTCCGTGATCCACCACTCGTATTCGGCTGCGAGCTCGTTAACGTATTGGTTGGTGCGAGCACCTCTGCACATACAGTTGGCGGTCTCTATCTTGAATTAAACGTGTATTCTGGTGGAGCATATATAGGGTTGTTTATCCAACGTCTGATCTGATCCTGAATGCCCTCATTGTATTTCAGAAGATATGACAGAAGTATTGTATGCTTGTTGCGTGAAATCCTTGATGTGATTGAGGCCTTGGCTCACGTTCAGATGTTTAGTGGAGTTATGGTAGGAAAGTTTAGTGAAGCAGGTTAACCTATAGTTTGTAGTTCTTCGGGTAGTACGGCCTTCTATCACAGACTCAAAGGCGATGTAGCAACTATTGCCAGAATAGTTAGTACTCTCTCATCTTATCAAAGGTCCCTGGTAACCACATTTGTGGTCCCTCATATCGCTTTGCGATCTTGCAGCACGGAAATGTTTTCACTTAACTTTCACTTTTAATAAAACATGAAAAGAATCAATAGTTTGATCCATGTATTTCAACATTCCTACCATCAATAAGAAAATGTTGTATAAGCTAGTTAATAAATATCTATTATCAAGAAACTTTGGTTGTCGCAAACATCCTTTGTTATCCAAGTTCTTTTTATGCAATCGGAACTTTTTGTGTGTTGTTTCTGTTCCAAACCACCACGACTACGATAACAAAAAGGGAAGCGCTTGAAGTTGTTTGGGAAATCGTCCTCATTCATCTGATCTAATCACGAGGGAGCTGGATGCGGAAATCGACGAACGTTTTCGGTAAAACTTCTAGACCTGTGCCAAAGCACCGCCTTCTCCACATGACATTTAAGTAGCCCCCGTGAGTCAGTATCGGATTCGCCCCTCAGTTCATCATGTGTGATGCGCCATGTAGTTAATCCAAGGTATGAACTCTTCATGTGCGTGCTTATTGTATGTTGACTTTGCTGTCATATAGTACTGTTTCATTACCCTATGGCAAGGCTACTAAGCAGCCTTACCCTCACTAATTCGATCCCGATACCAAGTTTGAGCCTGTATTGTCAGCTGATGTTCATATATTGTTGCTCTAGAGTTATTATTATTATAAACAGTTTAATTACCCAAGTTTGAGATATTGCTCTACAGCAGCTACGAAAAAGCCCCGCGTGGCAACTTCTACGAAATCGAGCATTCTACTCAAAACTAGTGACCATGAGGTGTCGAGAACTGACTCGAAGACCTAATTTCCACTAGCATCCACGACAGGTGATGCTTTCTATATCCTGTACAGTTTCCTATTCAATTCATTACCGCGCTCACTGGACGCCTCTGTTGTGATCAGTTGTCTAAAGCAGAATTTTTCGTGAACTTCGCTCTTCCATTTTGGAAGAAGATGTCGTCCGTAGAACATATGTGAGAAAAATTTCTTATTAGCGCGTTGAATGTACAAAGGAATTCGGAGAATTCTTGCCCAAAGGTTTGTTTCTTTCATAGCGGTTTATAGTCGTGAACATTTCTCAGCGGACGAATGTTCCAAGAATCCCTTCGGTCACACTTCTTACGACGGTAGATGAGTGACTCCTTGAATATAACACTTTTTCCGTTTAAAGGTTAAGTGGCATGTGGTTTGTTAGGGACTCGTCATACAGTAGGTAGATTTCTGCTTCGAAGTAATCGCCATGATGAAGATCTAGAAGATGTCACTATGTTTATCCCGAAATCACAACTCAAATTCGACAGCAAGGGTTTCCGGATAGTTTTCTTCCCGTGTAAATGTTGAGATCAATTGCGAGAGTTATGGAGTAGGAAGAATTGTATTCTTTGGGTAGTTTTTTTCACCTATATCGGAAATAGTTGAAGTTCCGTCTTGTTGTTTGGAGTGCAGTCGAACGCAATCCAGACGTAGTAAATTGATGAAGTGGTTGTCTGCGGAGGAGAGAATTGTTCCCTTTTATTTATATTTAACGAAAAAACTCACCACAATTTAAAGATGTGACAGTAATCGGCGGCGGGTGTTTGGTTAACAATTTCAAATTTGTTTTATCTTTTTTGCGTTTGTAACAATTCATATATCTTCCGACTGGAATCCGCCGATGCGTTTCACTCCTGCCTTCGAATTCTTTCTCATGGCGAGTTTGCTGATAACGCAATTCTGTTTCAAACAGTTGCAAAGCACGAATTGGTTAGTAGTATCTCGTAAAATGAACTATTTGAAAGAGCTCTTTGAAACAGTTTGAAGTTACTGTTTTAATTCTTATTAACACATTGGCGACGATGCGTAATGTTATTCGGTTGCGAAAAATTTTTGGTACCTCGCACGATAGGCGGTCATGTGTGGCTCATGCCGGCAACCTGTCCCACATGAGTTGACCCTCCTTTTTCTTCTACACTTTTCGTCCTTCATTTCGGTTTTCCTGTGTTTCTTATGCTACTTGTGGGTATCCTTGTATTTTTCACGTTCGATTGCCAATTTTTATGCGTAATGAAGAAACAAAATGCTCCATTATTCAACCTAATTGCTCTTACCATTTAATAGCGGTTCTGCAGCATGCCCATTTCTATGCATTTGAAAAAATAACTGTGATCACATTGATTCCATAAGGAAGGAGACCCTCAGCCGTTCGAGAGGTATTTGTATTTAGCTGTTTGTGCTCTGGGAATGGAAATGCTAGACTGGTAAGGCTGCGATACTAAGTTGTGACGCTGCTTATACATGGCATCCTCTTGGTTCCTAACTTATGTCAAGAGACAGGCTTGAAAAGCCGTTGAGTTGCCTCTATTTAGTGGATAATTCAAGATCTTATGAAAGAGACATGCTACAAAAAGATTCGGTTCGGTAGTCGAACTAAACAGAAATTTCGAGATAGTTCTATGCTCTTCAAAGGTTTTCTAAAAGTTTGCCATCATGGAACTAGATTGCTGTCAACATCTGGGAAGGTTTTGTGCGTTAAGCAAAATGTATTGTTTCAATGTATATATAAATGGTGATGAATTTGATTACACTACAGCATTTGGAAACAAAATATGAATTAATTACTAGCTAAAAACTGAATAGTATAGACTTCGGTCAAGTAGACGACAGACGAATGGGTCCTCATTTCTCACTAAGTATCCATCAAAAGTGGGCCGGTCGTATCTGTTGTGCAGCTGGTTAGTAAGGAGCTTGAAATATATCGGAAAGTGACGACGATGATGTGGCCGATGATAGGGGTGCAAGCGGTGAGTAGTTAGGTACTGCGATGCCTCACTAGCGTTGGTTTTTCAACGAAGGACCGAATGGTTTGGAGTGGAGCAGTTCATATTGCTTGATGAACAGAGCCAGTAGATTTTTATGCAATCTTCATGGGTGGAATTTGAGACTTACTTGTAAACGGCATACCTTCACGATTTTAGGCATCATTATTATTCTAAATAATATATAAAAAGTGTTAGTTGAAGGAATTGTAGATTGTAGTATAAACGTTGTTGGGTGCAACATTTATAGCATGAGTGAAGAATACTGAATCTAGAAGTCGGGAGTATGTAGTATTTGAGAAAACGCTCTCTATAATGGTACGCTCAGCAAAGCATACTTCTTTGGATGACCTGTGAGAAATGAATAATCATCAACTCTACAGAGAGCGCGCAACTTCGTACAAATTTGCCATGCTGGATATAGCCACAGAGCAACTTTAAAGTTTGGGTAGTTAAACATTTGTACACAATAACTCTCACCAATAAAACGAAAACGACGTGGCGATGTCAAGACATTCTCTACACATGGACAAGCACGTACGGCGTGCATTTCTATTGCTCTTATGTAGTAAAAGCAAGTCATTATAGATTTCCTCACTGATCTACCATCTTATCATGGTGATTAAATGTCCTTAAGCTTCGGACTTGAGTGAATACAAATTGCTTAAAATAGAAAGAGGCCTCTACATAGCGAAATAAGCAGACGAAAAGAATGTGGGTTTTATATAGGTCCCGGTGGCCAGTGCGCCTAGAATATGACTTACGTCGCCAATGTGTTAATATTTCCAATTTTCTTCACTATTGTTTTGATAGTTATATTGAAAAGCGTAGTCGTTTTGTACGTAGTACTAGAGTCATGGAGATTTTTTTCAATAGTCCTATAGAGAACTTTTTTTTAGCAGCACATAAGTGCCGAAGACATTTCACAATTGCCATGTTATCTGTTTCGAGATCTTGTGATAATGCTGAGGTCAAGTATGTCAGGGGCCGACACACTGTTCCTGGCCGTTAACGAATGCTTTTGTTATGTGGTTTGTTGTGACATTTCTTTTATTTGACTTCTAGAGATTAATTGTTATTGACAGTCACATCTGCCGTTTCACAATGCTCATCTTTCAGCCGAAACTCTGTCAAGTTCTTGCGCCATATATACCTCAGTTGGACATTTCTAACTACGAATCAGTTGTGGTTGTATTGTCACGATACGCTTCTCTCGTCGCTGAAACAGGTTGATTTCTACGGTAGCAGTTTTGAGTACTGGAATTTCAGCATTTTTTCCAGATCTTGACGCTACTATGCAGTCTACTCGTCGAATGGCACGTTGCATAGCCGAATGTGTTGATAGTTTCGGACTAGAACGCCTTTCAAGCGTGAAGTTAGGAAACCTAGTGTGTCCTGACGGATTGTGTGCTCTCGCCAAGTGCTGTATTTTGGCGGATCTCCCTCATTACGCTTTTGCGGTGGCTAATATGTTTTATGACATGTAGGTAAATACAATTTTGGTAGCTGTCCATGCGATTGACTCATGATTTCCTTGTTTTCGGCTGATGGAAAATGAAGACATCCGGCATATGGCTGCCTTCGGAACCAGGATAGAGAACAGGCAGTTTTTAGAACTACTAAGAGAAATTTACTTAGCGCTCGGTTCAACTTCGGGACTACGTGTACTTCCTATGGATCTTCAGGTTTTTTTTGCTTCTTAGACAGTTACAGTGTCGTTGCGTTCTTCACAGATTGCAGTTTACTTCATAGTTGTTCTATAATTTAACATAATTTCAAATTTATTTTCTTTACGCATGGTAACATACACATTTTCCATCATTTGTAGAATGATGGCAGAGTACGTGCATTATTCTCAAAAGCTCGGTTTGATTGGCTTGGAGTCATCTCGACCCCTGGCACGTCATTACAGGACCTAATAGATGCCTACTGGTATTGGTACGTCGTAGCTCAAATGTATAAGCAATGCACTCCAATTTGACTATGCTCCTAATACCTTGTATCGTAGTTCACTTCAATTTTACGGTGTCATTTATTGCAAATAGTTTTGTTACTAAATGGTTTTTTTTAGTGGAATAAATTACTCTGGGAGCTGCCGGAGGGTGAAGTACGCGTTGGCGATTCGCAACATGAAATGGGATGAAATTAGCTATCCAAAAAAGTTTGTATGGATTTCTTAATGGAGTGCTAGTATCAGTAAGACAATGCTCCTAATTTCTCAAATGTCATTCTAACCGCTGGCAAGGATGAAAGAACACCGAAAAGTAGTATCAATTGAGACAGGAAATATTTTTTCTTTGACCTATCAAATTTTTGTCCATTTCAGACTTGATTCTCACGAAGAACGTTTGTTCTCTGCGCTTTATCTTACTGGTCGTTGTGAGAGATCTGCGAATAAAATTCTTGACTTTATACAGTTGGTTTTCATACGCAATTGTCGGATTGTATGGAATGCTATGTATTAAACGCAAGTCATCCATTCATTACATATAGTATAGTATGTTGTTTTAGAAAAACAGAATGCGAGAACATGAGGAAAGATGATCTTCCTAAACTGGTATCTCTCGAACATCTTCGTGATCTTGCGGTTATTCGCATGAGTAGCGCTTTGTCTAACAATGAGATTATGGTCCGTATTGCTTGCTATTCCTTATTTCCATGTAACTGTTCTTACCAAACTTCTAATGTTAGGCGATGGGGGATAGTCGTCTCTTTCTATTGGTTGCTGCCAAGTTACGTTTAACTGATAGGTTAGACTCTTCAGCAGCTGTGTTTGGTCAGGATCTGCTCATCTCGACGGTAATGACAAGGCTTAGTAACCTGAAGGCTTTTGTGGTATGTTACGTATATTTACAATGATATCTTATTTGGCTTATGTCTCTCTTTTAAGCCATGCTTTGCGATATTAGAAAAGTGCGCCGGGAACTATTCTGTGCTTGAGAAGTGTCGAGTTCACATGCTTAAAGGCGATTACAGCACTGCTGAGCATCTCATTCGAGATCTTTTGGATTCATCGTGAGTTATTTACTTGTAGATGTCTTACTATTCTTGTTGGTTTTGCTGTGTTTGTTACTGCGGCAACCACTACTTACTAGTTTTACACATTCTCGGCGAAGCTGGTTTTTCGACAACATGCGTTAATTTCTCCATTAGTTGGATTAGTGGAGTTCAGAACCTTAAACGTATAGGAGACTTTGCTCTAACGACTTACGGGTACATAAACAGTTTCTACAAACTATGCTTTCAGTTATAAATTTGATTAGAACTCCATGTGCTGGAACAAGAGAACTTATACCTTATAGGTAAAGAACTGCATTGAAGCAGTAACTTTCAATATAAACTGAGATGTTTGTATTTGAAGCTGAAAGTGGGGATTAAATTCAGACCGAATGACTCCACCTGAGTCACAGTGGCACCTGCTAGGATGACTAGTACTAATAACGTTAGTAGTCTTGGTTGTAACAGTAATGATATTGGTAACATTTGACATAACACGTTCTTCTTTGATGAACTACTATTTACTGCCTATTGCTTTTTTCCTCCCAACGGTTTACTGCCTCATCGTGACTAGGAGGTGTTCCTAGGTGTCGGACTGCGATGTACAGCGGAGGGATTCGTCCCTCCGGCAGGGTCTCCCAAGCTGAGAAGGACTCCGGCCGTTTCCATCAGGAAGCCTAGCTAAGAGTGAACCAATACCATGATCCACCACCGTCCTGGTATCGAAGTCGCATGATGGAAAATCTCCCTATGATCCACAAGGGCTGTGACTGCCTGTCATGGTGACGACCTGGGGCAGACTTTGGCCAAGCTGATCTCGGGATTCCAGAGAACCACAATGGCTTAACCAGCAAATCTTCGAAAAATGGTGATTATGCTGGGGCCCGCACAACTAGTGAGGACGGGCCGTTCAGGTATCAAGTATCAATCAAGTATTTCTTTTTCGTGTCAGTGTATTATGTGGAGCACAGCCACGAGGATGCTGAATTATGAGGAAAATTCAGAGCTTTCTTTTCTGGTTAAACGTCTTCACGAGTCTTGCAGGCGAGGCGCATTTTCCTTTCGTTTATTTCCTTAGCAATCTTCCTTATTGGCGGTTTACTTCCATTATAATGATATCTACGAGTATCGTTCAGTGGTCCATGAATCACTTTCAACTGTGAATATAGCCAGTTAGTGTAATCAATAGTCACGTCCGCACCATATGATCTTCCTGAAAAACACGTTCATCTTCTTGAGATCTCTTCTAGCACTCTTCTCTGTCACATATCGTCACTTTTTACCCAATTTCAGATCTTCACTTTTGATGCAAAATATCCTGAGTGTTAGAAAAAAAAGTTCCATGAATGATTTATACAAATCCTTCTTTAAGTCGTTCCACATGTTCATTGATTGTTATCAGTACCTATGCGATGTGGTCTCTCCGATCAGATCCACACATCTTGCTTTGTTCATCACGGTCCAATAGTGCGTGAAATATTCATTAACTCGTTTTCTACCGATGTATGTAAAGTGTTTTCCTTCTCGAACTTCTTCAGCATCGTTTCATGTTCATAGGTTTTGTTTTTCAAAAACGTGGTGATGTGTCAACAAAACGAAAATTTAATAAGAATTTTCCATTGATGCTCATTCCTAACCCCAGTTGTCTGCGTTGGAGAACGAACGCGCTTTTGTCCTTTTCGGGGAGTAACACGTTCATCCCCACACCATGTGGGTCCTTTGTTTCGCCTGTCATCTGGTTCTATCGATAAGTGCCATCAGCAATGACCCGTCAGCGGGATTGATCTGGGCGGCCGAAATCGACAATGAACCCGGTGAAGCTGGGGCTTTAGTTATAATCACAAATTTAACGGTTTTTTATTTGCTGCCTATTCTTTTTAATGGCAGGGCATATTGTGAAATATAACCTCAATGATGCCGAGATATGTGCAAAACTCCGGACCGCAGGTGTCTGCGGTGGGGAACGAAGGCGCTATTGTGTCATCGGACTAGCCCAGAAACACTTGGAATTTTGGCCGCGTTTGTGGAAAAAACCGTTTGATCTTCTTTGAAATCTCAGCAGAGCGATATCATTGAGAACGAATTTATTTTCGACTGTCCATTCACTGGCACCTGGACGAGTGTCTTGGAATGATTCAGCTATGTGCACCTAGGTCGACAGGTGAAAATGAGGAACAATTCTGCTCTTAGGACCAAATATTACGAAGTGGGTAAAGAGCTGCGTAGAAAAAGCATCGAGGATCTGATGCAGAGAGCAACGAACGTACGATTCCGTGTCCACGTTTACTTTTTAATGGCGCCTTCGTTCCCCACCGCAGACACCTGCGGTCCGGAGTTTTGCACATATCTCGGCATCATTGAAGTTATACTTGCTTACTATGCCTTATACCCACGACCAGTAACCTGGATACTCCATAAGCAGGATGGACCAGCAACGATCTTTATCTGGGAAACAAACTCGTGTAGAAAAAGGTTTTTGTGAACATTTAGAAAAGGATCGCTTATCATGAACCAAGTCAGGCACCAACATGTATGTTCTCGATTAGTCATAAAAACCTTTCAAAGTATTTTTTGAAACATGGTACAAACCAGGAAAAAATCAAATCATATATATGGTATATAGAATTCTTTGTGCACGAACTCACGTATGGGTCGAACATGATTCAAACGGCCGCGAATGTGTTAATGACAATATTAATGAGTGTATTGAAGATAGTGAGTGCAGTATTAGCAATATACAATAACAGTATGAGTGCATTTGTATTGGTGAAAACAAAATATTGTTTTCTGGCTTTTTTGTGGAGCAGGTTATCTTGCGAGCCCGAAGTGGAAATGGAAGCCCGGTGCCTTCTTGCGGAACTGTTAGCTGATCATAAGAATATGTTAGATGAAGCTATTGTGCTTCTGCGTGAGGTACTGTGACTTATTGCTGTTTTCTACGTATTCATAAGGAGGTGAGAGAAGATATGCAGGGTATCGAAAATGGTGGAAAAAATGTCACTTTGTCTAAATGTCGATTTCGCGTCTTCTCTCTATTACACCGATTGGCAGCATATCAACTGTCTGGTATCGAAGAGCACATGGAATCGAGGGCATTTCGGATGAGGAAAGATGCAATTCGTGAATGGACAAGACAACGCAATTTCCTCCCACAGGGGTATCGTTCTAGTCATTCTTTTCTTTATATGCATTCGCTTTACTTTCCTCTTTATCCAGTACACAAACTCAAGCAGCTCGACGCATTGAGTGCGAGTTGAGGTGTGAAAAGGAGGTAGTGGAGTCAATCAACCGGAAATTAGTGACTAGCGCTTACGATACAGTAGTTGCTGGCCTAGAAGCGTTAAGTTAGTCCAACTCTATCAAATTGATTTCTTACTGAGAATGCAATAGAATTCTCTATATTTCAGGTTATGCAGTTCCCAAACTTCAGCATTGATTTACTCGAAGTTTTTTAGAATTACTTTCGAAGCCGTACAGAGAGCAACCAAATCAGCCAAAGCAACGGAATGACTGCATTTTGAGACTAATTTTCCCACTGATTGATGTAATATTTCGCTTCGAATGTGAAAGAAATGTCGTCAATGCTTTAAGGGTTAGTTCCTGAACAGTAGAATGACTTTTATTTGCATTAGGTTTATAGAAGTTTCAGGAATATGTTGCAAATGGTATGGTACCCGCTATTTGGTTGCAAGTCGTTAGTCACATTATGGTGCAATGCTTTTCAAAAAATATTTTAGCTGCAGTTGTTAGAACCGTAGGTTTTCTCCGTTTATTAGTAAGGATATAATTCGCAACTATTTGACTGCTGTTCGTTTCTAAAATCGGCTATTATTTAACCTCGACATAACTAGTCAATATTTTATTAAATGGTTGAGCAAACAGAAGGTTGCAAAATTCTATTCGGCTGCTCTGTGATTATTCAGCTAGTCTATGATCGGGATAGAATTGTCCATATTTTCGTTATCATGAATGGAATCAAGTGTCCTCAGTTTTTATTCACCAATCCTGGATCAATCCCATTGGAGACTGTTTGCTGGTAGCTCCTATAGGTCAATAACACGGTTGAGAGAAAGGTGAAACGAAGGACTCGGATGGTGTCGCGCTGAACGCGTTAGGCACCGTTAAGAGTAATAGCGTGTTCGATCCCCACTGCAGACACCGGCGGTCAGGAGTTTTACAAATATATCAGCATCATTATGATTATATCTCTTTACTTGGCCGTATCCTCCTATTCAGGACGGTTGTTGACCCGATACCATCCAATATTATTCGCAGATCTGCTTTCGTGGTGGCAATGCATCATGCACTAGTTATATTAGCTAACACGTAGCGAATAAATAATTTTCAATATTTTTTCAGAACATTTATGAAGCCACCGTACAACCAGATCATTCCGTCATACTGTACGGTAGCAGATCAACAGCTTACTTGATACTTGAATGGCCCGTCCTCACTGGTTGCGCGGGCCCCAGCACAATCCCCATTTTCGGAGATTTGCTGGTAAAGCCATTGTGGTTCTCTGGAACCCCGAGGTTAGCTTGCCCAAAGTTTGCCTCTTCACCACCACACCCCTTGTGGATCATAGGGAGATTTACCACCATGCGACTTTGATACCAGGACGGTGACGGATCATGGTATTAGTTTACTCTTAGCTAGACTTCGTGATGGAAACGCTGGACTCCTTCTTAGCCTGGTAAACCCTGCCAGGGGATGAATCTCCCGCTGTACATCGCAGTCCGACACCCAGGAACACCTCTCAGCCACGATGAGGCGGTAAACCGTTAGGAGGCATCAACAACTGTCCTGCATAAGTGGACAACGCCACTTGAGAGCACTTCATTCGGGCGATACTTCACTTTATTAAGTTCGACTTGATGCGGTAATGATGAATAACATCGCATGGACGTGCGGCTGTGTACAGTCGACTCAAATCCATCCGTCTGTGAAGAAGACGAAGACGTTGAGACGTTAACCCAATAAAATTTTGCAACAACCTCATGGTAGCTTAATCATCTGAGAAAGCAATTGCTGGTGCCCTGTTATAATGAATTTTTTAACGTTACATAGAATTGACAATTTACCATAGAAAGATTTTTCTCCACGCTTACAGATGGTCGTCAAGCTTATTATCGCTTACCCTTTTCATGTCTTACACACTGTGCTCATGTATAAATTCGACGAGGTGACCTTTAACTTTGTTAGATCAATTTTTTGTTAATCTTCGCTTTTTATTATTTTAAGAATTGTTCGCGCATCGTGGATTCCATGCTCGAAGAAGTGGAACATCGAGTAGCAGATAAATACGCGAGAGCAAGACTTCATCAAATTATCGAGGACATGATAGCGGCACATATTGCCTATATACAGTTTGCAACGTTGAAAATCAGCGATACCCAATTTTTTAAAAAGATTTCAGGAGTAAAGACCGGTATATTGTTTTTATGCATTTCCCAGCAGTTCTGTAGAACAGATTTTTTTTACAGCGCAATATCAAATGCTGGAAACTGTGGGAATTGTGCGTATGTCCACTGATCTAAGACGCATTCCATTACCTATAGTTGATCAGAAGGTTGGTGAGGACTACTTGGTGTCCAGCTATATGTTCTGCCTTCTAATGAAAGCATGTGTTGTTAACCTTTGTCAAGATAGGGAATGCCGGCGACTATTCTGGTCATGAAATAGTTATGTGGGACACAATGGATCCAACATTTACAAGGGCTGATGGTTTGTCGTCTCCTAAAGTTCTCCGAACCAAAGGAAGCGATGGAAAATGGTACAAACTCATCTGGAAGGTGAATAGCAATGCTCTTCCTTGATTGTTGTGATATTTTATGTCCGCTTGAATATATGTGGAGGCTATGGGTTCTGAATTGGAATTGACTTTATTGCTCAACGATCTTTGCAACGAAAACGAGTTTTTCCCTATGATAGTCCAAAGTCTAAAAAGTCATGCTAGCTTCTACAATGCTTTTTGTTTAATGAAATGCTTTTCTTCTAGAATGAGGATGTAAGGCAAGATTGCCTTGTCGAGCAGCTGTTCTCCGTCGTCAGTGGAATCATGAATCATGACGAAACTTCATCATTTCTCCGCACGTATAAGGTCATATTGTGCTATTCATTGATCAGTTTCAAGTTTAAACATGTCTTTGGCGACATATGGTGATTTTGATTTCCTGTTTCAGGTCGTTCCATTAAATTCCAAATGCGGTATAATCGAGTTTTGTCAGGGAACTATATCACTGAGTGTGCATTTCCATCTTTCTTTTTATAGTGTTATAAATGTTCTTGGGACCTTGCATCACTACTGTTCAGAAGAGCTTTTATGTGGTTTGGATTTGGCTGGTGGTTTACACGCCAAGGCAGAACCTAGTGACAAGAAAGCATTGCAAATTCGAACCATTTTGAAAGACGTGGCGAAGATGCCTGTTAATCAAGCATCTGCAACTTTTCGTCAGGCTTGCGCCCTATTTAAGCCAGTATTCAGGTATTTATATGCTTTTAGCGCACCATTTTATCGTCCTGTTGTGTCTGCTTAGTTTGCATTCTTTTTTTTAACTTGGGTCACCGTGTCTTTGAAGTATATTGGACTTGCAGGCATTTCTTCTATCATCACTGTAGAACTGTTAATCAATGGACAAGTATGATTGACAACTATAGGCGAAGCCTCGCTCAATGGAGTATAGGTATGTGGAATGTACTATGAATCATTAAAAAATTCGGAGAGACTTATGTCCCATTGGAGTGATTCGTGGCCGCAAGTAATTTAACCCTCTAACTTCAAAAAAAGTGGCACATGTAGCGCAGTAGATAGAGGAGCGTTGCAATAAGCAGGTTGTCATTAGTTCGATACTGCATCCCTGGCTCATCCAGCCATCCATCCCTCCTTTCTCGGTGAATAAGTACCGGACTTGTCTGGAAGGATAGGAGTAATGACTTCGTACTTCGGTAATCCATTACAAGTCGTTGTACAGGCTAAGTATCCATTTAGTCACCTTTAACGGTGCTTGACCAAGTCGAATGCATGACGAATCTTCCAAAAATTGATCAATGCCGAGAGCTTCATCCTTAAACACCAAAAAAGCTTATCTCACTTCGTATGCATGCTATTATTTCAAGGAGAAAGCTATCAAATACCCAGATTTTTTCCAAAAAGGGCGATGTTTTCTTATTCCATTCCTGCAGAACTTGAATGTAGGCCACGAAAAACTGCCTCGCACTTGGTGGGCTAGTTTACTGCGCGCCACTTTATGAAGTATTTCGGCAACTTCCTGTGCGAGAAAGGCTTCAGAAACTAAGCGGAAGCCGGGGATTTCTTCAACGACATCATCCAAGTCACCTGCTGGAATTCGTCAACTTATTTCTCTTTGGCTAAATTGTATAGATTCTACTGATTCTTATTTCGATCAATGCAAAATTGTAGAGATTCTAATGTTGCTTATTTCGATTAGTCAAATTTATCTTGAACTGAGACACTCATCTTTAAAGACACACGTAGAAATCTGTGTTAATCTCCAAACGACCTAATAGTGTCATTGTTAACTCATCCATTTTTTAGCAGAGAGCTCACCTATCTAGTGTTCGAAAAGAGTATTGAGTCGAAAAAGGTAGTGAGTACTAGGTCGAAAAAAATTAATTCGAGATACGGTGCGAAGTCATATTTAATAGTGAGTGATTCGTGCTTTCTATTGATTTTAGATCTGATCCAAAACAGCTTGACTTCTGGCTTCTCCGTAGAGTAAGAGGCTTGATCATTCCAGGCTCTGAAGATACCCAAATCCGCCCAACCATTAGCTGTTGTGAATAAATACAATACTAACCACCTCATGTGTGCTTTTCTAGGAAACAGCGAATTGCACCTTGGGTATTATGCGTGTTGACAATTTTTGTCTCTGTTCTGTAGTCGTCGCTTTTGTTTCGAAATTTTCACTTTTATGCTTCTTTGAGCATCTATATCGTTGACATGGGATGATGAATGAAGCTCATTTAGATTACTTGCATGGAACTTGGACGGTCCGTCTTCACAAGTTGTGGGGACTCCAGCACATTTGCCATTCGTATCTTTCCCTCACAACCACCGTCCATGGTGGTGGTTTTATTGGAACATGGCGCGTGCGAGTCTCATACTGCGATCTGTAAGATAACTACAGCTGCGTGTACAGCTGATTAACCTTGGTTACGAGCACGTCCGTCCAGTGTGTGGTGGCCATCCTAGGGGACGCCTGTATTTTGTAGAGTCCACTCTGCAGTTCTTTTCGTCCATCTGTTGTCTGGTTTTCTTATCATGTGACCATGTTTCACTATCCATTTATCATCTACTGGATCAACTAGGTCAAAAATTCATCTGAAATTCGAGGCCAAGTCATGTGTGATAGTGAGCTATTCAATCTTTCGACTTATTTCTAAACTTTTGGAGTTTGTCGAAAACACCTCAAGGGTTTTACGCATTGACTTTTTTGATTCCCACATTGAGATTGAGTTTGATTTTGGACTCGTGACTGGAGTGCTTCTGTGTTCTTTGCGTAGCCATTAGAGTAGGTTTTCGAAGTCTAGGTTTTTCACTTAAATGTTCTTTTATACGAACGTAGGGCGATCTACACGTTTCTGTCGAAATATTTGGCATCGCATCCCATCACTTATGATACATCCGGTTTCGAATGGGTTGACGATGTAGTGTGTTCAGTAAATGATCCGATCGTATCGCCGCTCATCGATGTTGTCTAGAATAGCATCTTCCCAAGAAACGACTACTGAGCTGAATAAATCCCAGTTTATCGTGGTTTCGGGACCTCTTTTTTGAATTTAGTTATTTTTTTTCCTTTTCGCAAGAAAGCTTTCACGAAGGAGGCGATGATCTGGTCCTATGTAAAGTTTCGGGAGAGCAGCGACATCGGTTAGGCAAAGCCTTCGATTTACCATAGTGTGGCATGTTTCGTCATGTTACTGCCATTTAGAACCCCTTACGTCCAGCATGGCGAGTGAGGTTTTTGGAATTGGGACTTGAGCGGTTCTGGTCGTCATGACAAACTCACACAGCCGCTTACCTTGTCCGTTGCATTCTAATCCATTGGTTCCAATGTAAAGTTCTTTAGATTTTTTTCTTGGTCTAACTTAAGCGTTAAAATCATTGATTATGACCTTAAAGAATGCATTGTCTTCCCTCCAGGTCTTCTTCAAGTCTATATTGAACGCTTCGATTTTGTCCTCGTTATAATTTGATTTCGGTGCGTAGGTACCAAGACCATCGAAGCCAGCATTGATCCACATCTCTTCAATTGTAAATATGCGATTTGTGTTGTTAATTACTCGAATGAATCGACATGTTCCGAGAAACAGTTCCTCTCCAGTGTAATAGACGGCGTTGAACGGGTGGCCTGTTTTGGTCTCGGCCAGTCCGATGACATAATACCTTATCCTTCTTGCTTGCATGACCAAACCTTCTATAGGCGACTCAGATGCAAGTGTGTGTGCATTGTAGGTACAGATTGTCGTCTTAGTCGTTTACAATTTACACAGTCTAGAATGAGCTTGTGATTTTAGCAAGCTCTCCGTACTTGTCTTGCTCAACGATGCTGAATCAGGGACTCTTTCGGAATTTGGGGAATGAGGCCCATTTATTTTACTGTGTTTAGCGTCAGATTCCGAGGTATGGCTTGCTGAACTCTGGATGTGGGGCTTGGATATACTTGTGGGTAGCTTGCCATCTCTCTTAAAATAGACGAGGAGCTTATTTGTTGGAGACGACTCTTAAGCGCCTCCCAAATGCTTCCCTATTATTTGATTGCTGGCTTTTGGGTGAATTGATTCGTAGGGTATGATCCGCATAAACGAGAATACACCCACGCACGTATGCATTAACACACCCTCGCGGACCTATGGTATGTGCTAAATTGGCGCAGCACAAATGGGCAGTCGATCCTCTGGATCCACCTGCGTCTCAGGGAAGCATGAGGTCGCTTTTCGTCAGCGATTAACCCCTATGCACCACCTGGGAGCACGCGACATCGCCTGGCTACTAACAGGCACGAGATCCCTCTATGAGGGAGCTTTATGGGAGAGTACCTTTCGGTAAGACAATCCGAGTCTTTGATAATCTGAGAAAACTGATCTGGGAAACTCAGCAGAGGGCTAATGGTTTCACGAGCTAAAAGAGGTGTCTATATGCCATCTTAATATGGATATTACTGTTATGGACACGACTCTTTCCTAGCTAGTTTTTGCAATCTTGGAAGTGTTGCAGGAGTGGCCGGTATGACACTTGTAAGTTTCATTTACTTACTAGCGGTTTATTTCACCACAGAGCTGTTTTCCTTGGCTTCCTGCAACTAATCTTTAACTCATCAATCGCAGAAGGTGCGGCATCATCCATTGAGAGCGTCTTCTTCTATGGCGAGACATTATTAATGTTGAAGACAATGTGGCCAGTGAAGAAACGCTGAAATGCCACTTCATCGAAGAAATGGCATGGCATGCAGTGTGCAGCATCATTTTTGACAAGCACTTCGTTATTTCCTAGTTTTTAATCGCTGCAATAACTTTTCGGTATTGTATGGAAGAAGGAATATCAAAACCAGGTACATATAGTTGTATTCCGTGCAGAACCTGTATAACTTCATTAAGTGCTGACAGTAGTATGATTGCATAGTGGAGCGGTGTTTTTTTCTCATACACAAGGGTTGCATATGCAACAGAAATAGGGGAGGATTTATAGAAGAACATGGAGCGCACATGGAATAAGAGAAGAGAGGAGATCCTTTCAAGACACAAAGAGAAACCGACTCATAGAGCGGAAATCACAACAGAAGGGGAAAGAGGTACATAAACTGCTAGAGTGGCCCGCATGAAATCTATAGGTGTCACAATGAGCGTAGCAAAAAGTTAGACGCCTTCCACTCCACAACAAAAATGAAATTACCCGTCGCAGCGAGAGCGTTAAGCAGTACTCACAAGAATTATGTACATATATTAGGTGCCAATTTTTTTTCGCTCATTAGTAAAAAATTTTAATAAAGTACAAAAATTGTTGTTCAGCAACTTACGTAATCGGTCTGGGTGATCGCCACCTCAGTAACATACTTTTCGAGATAGATACCTGCAAACTGGTACACATTGATCTCGGTGAGTGATTTTATGACGTTTCCAAGCCACATATACCACATCTAATTCACTTTGAACCATTTCAAGGAATGATTTTCGAGTACAGCAAGAGAACATTACCCATTCCTGAGCGAGTGCCGTTCCGCCTTACTCGTGACCTACTCGATCCAATACTAATTGAAGGTATAGGTGGTCGTCTTCTTGAGGAAGCTGTCTATGCAATGAAATTGTTAAGAGAAAATAAGCAGGTGGTTTCATTTATTTTTTTCGGTCACTTCTATGACTACTATAAAATCGGAATAAAGAACCAGCTCTAAGGTTATCCTCGGTTTGGCATCGGTTCTACTGCGCGAAACAATCTCAAACTTCGAAGAGGTTGAATCTAATAATGGAGACCGTCCATCATTCGTCTCAGAAACAGCGATTGCACGACTTCGTGATAAGCTAAATGGAACCGACGATACTCTTGTTCAGCAAGATGTGCTTCATCAGGTGTTTTACTGTGTCTATATGAGCTTTCTTGGTTTGCTTCAAATGTATTTCTACCAATGATATTTTAGAATTGAATGGAAACATTCTAGTTCCTCGTTTTCCCCCGTATTTCTATCCTTTTGTATTCTTATTTTCCACATTATGCGATTTCTAGCGTGTGCACTTAGTCATTCTGCGTTTATCCATAACCTAAAGTTTTCTGTTTAGGTTCGTCGTCTATTTACTGAAGCCACAAATGTAGACAATATCAGCCGTATGTTCATTGGATGGATGGGCTTCGTCTAAAATCATACACTTTGAGGTAGCACCGCATCGCATATCCACGCTATACAGGCTGGGACTCGATTTTGCTCCAGTTTTTGTGATTATTGTTGCTCATAGATCTCCATGTCAACCACTTTTATAGCTCTAATCTCTTTCTGGTGTTCTTTCTTCAATAATACTTTTTTATGTTGGATTTCCGTTATTACTAATCCGGCATTCAAAAATCCCATTTTCCACAAACTTTAGCATTAATGACGAATTTATTTGCATCTTACAAACTGCCACTGTTGGGCTGACCCAAGGTTAGCACAAGTTGTTGTTGTTGTGATTCGATAGCCGACGTTTAGGCGAATTCGCCTTCTTGGGAGCGAGGATGTATCTTATGTAACGTTATTTAAATAATTTGGGGAATCATCTATGGTATAAATGAAGATCTACTGTACAAATGAACGCCACTTTGTGTCTAAATCCTCGCACAGGAATCGAGAACACAAGAGCGCAAAACTCTCGAGGCACTCTGGATTAATTCTAGAAATCCGAAAATGAACCGCAGGGAAGAATGCCTCATTATCACGCGTGATATTGGGCAGTATATAAGACTGTTATTCTGATGGGAAGGTCACATTACGCTTCCGTATGAATTCTGTGCGGTTGGTCTCTACGCGACATACCTCAGTGGAAGCCTCATAGAAGGCGGTGAATGTACGAAGAAGCTATTCTGTGTTCAATGTGATTGAAATTTTGGTTTAGCGTTTTCTCTGTTTGGTTATGGAGGTGTTTGGCCGAATAGATTGCTGTAAACTTGACCTTTCCAGGCTCTGAGGAAGGCGAAATCCGCCGAAGCGTCAGATTGTTCGTGAGTAAAGAATAAAATAACACCTCGCGTTTGCTCAACAAGAATACGAAGAACGCCACTTTGTTACGAACCGCTCACCGTATTTAAGGTTTGGAGCCACCCGCTTGTTGTTTACGTGGCACGAAGGATTAATCCCACCCAGATTAATGTGGCATTCGTTTTTCCGGTTCTCTTCTGGATTTTTTTTTCAACTTATCCAAAATTCCTGAGGAGTTTTGCGCGTTGATGTTTTAGTTTACTGCGCCCTAATCGTGATGGTCACTTTAAAATCATCACCATTGTGGTTTTGTGCCCTATGTGTACCTAGTGAAATACACTGTCGAGTTTTAAGTTTTCAACCTAATTGTTATTTTATGCTGACGCAAGGTCGTCTACCTGTTTCGCCAGTATACCTTCGCCGTTTTTTTATTGGAGGAACACAGCCGCAGGTAGCTCGTTGGCTGTCTTTTGGCTAGGTGTTGTGTATTCGAACCAGATCTCATCATTGATCAGATCAACGGTGAACTAGTGGTGTAGCTGTTCGTTAGAAATTGTTTTTGGGTTGAAACAACGTTAACTAATCCAGGAAAGTGGAATACAGATTTGGCAAGGTGGGCTCAACTAAACTGATTAGAGCCAAAAACTTCGTTCTTACAAACGTTCCATACATTTCACCAACAACAAATCTATTTTTCTAAGTGGTTTATAACTCGGACAATTTCGATCCTATGGTAGTTCGTACTTTTTAATTTTTCTCATCGTTTTGTATACTGTGCCGCCCTTAGATATTCAACAGTAATCAACGGCACAGAGTTCATGCTCTCAGTTCTCCCGAACTAGAGAGTTCGACACCGGCCAGTCTAAACTGTACCACGATAGGGCCTAGCAAGCTACCCATGGATGAATATTTTCTCAAAGGAATAGTAAAAGAAAGTGGCCTCATGCCAAATTGTGAAATGCCTTTTGTGTCCATTTAACAGCGTAGAATGCACAGGCAAGCTCGGGTCTGACAACAGTGAATGCAGAGCTGACAAAACACCCTTGAGTCTGTGAATGATGAGTGAGAGTAGAGGTGATAAGATAAGGTTTAAGCACCCATCTTGATATTCACATTATGAAGCAATTAAAGGTTTTAAGGAGCTGCTGAGAAAGTGGGTCTTTTGTCGCATTAAGACGATTTTTTGTCTTAATATCAATACGTCCCTAACAAGTCGGAAATATCTTCTTGGAACATCTCTTAATAACCCAGAAGACCGGCGTTCTATAAACTGGCATAGATGATATATCTATTTATACGATACACAGCCCACTGACAGTCCCACTGGTAACAGCACGGCTCTGAGGAAGGCGAAATCGCCGTAACGTCGGCCATCGACCAACAACGACAACGACAAATACAACGAAGACCTATACCAACCTCATTGGCAAAATAAGATCAGTTTATAAGATCATATAAATAAATATAGCAATTAAAGGTGTTCGAAATATAAAGATCGCCCACTATTACCTCTGCAGGGTAATGTCCTGAATAAACTGGCTTCAGTGTGAAATCATAAACAGCCACACGGATGCATATTGCCTTTAAAAGTGTTTTCTGTTACTGTGTGATTGTGTCTCTCCAACTTCGTTTAGTGAAAAATTTATGGTTGATGTCGTATGTCGGAAAAGGCGTACATCGACGTAAGACATGCGTCATAAAATGACCATTGAAGTTGTTGTTTCTCCAACATTTTCGCGACGATTCGAATTTTTTGAAAACCTACATCTGGAACGGCACCCGTATTTCACGAGTGCCATGTAAATCAAAACCGATGGCATACAGTCACAGGGGGCCAGCCAAATGAATGGCACCATTTTGAATTTTGAACGTTTTTTTGCAGTGCGGTTTCGTTCTTCCACATCTTTCCATTACTTTGTCTAACTATGGCATATATATAACTTCAATGATGCTGAGATTTTTTGCAAAACTCTTGACCGCAGGTGTATGCGGTGCGGAACGAACGCGCTATTGTCCTTTCCGGGGAGTAGCGCGTTCGTTCCCCACCGCATACCCCTGCGGTCCGGAGTTTTGCAAATATTTCAGCATCATTGAAGTTATATTTCACAATATATACTCTGCCGTTAAAAAGAGTAGGCAGTAAATAATAAGTTAAAATTATGGCATATGTACATTCTTTATATTCTTCGGTAGTGTTTTTCCGGGTTTTGATGCTATGAAAACTACTATCCATCGCTCAACCACGAGAACGTCGACCTGTGGTAATCAGTTTCGGAACATTTTAATGTAGTTATCCGCCCATCTGTGATCATGATTGGTCGTAGCGGTTGTAAAGGGGAGAATATGCAGTAATTTCACAAGGTTGAAAAATCATAGAGCCTGAATGAATGGGATTCTAATTCACGTGTATTCAATTTTGACTTACTTACCAACTTAGATGGGCCGCCTTCACTGATTGTGCAGGCCCCAACAAAACCTCCATTTTTTTCGGAGACTTGCTTGCTTCATCCATTATGGTTCCCCGCAGTCACGAGGTCAGCCTGGCCAAAATCTGTCCTAGGTCGTCACTACCACAGGCAGTAGCGGCCTTTTTGGATTAGAGAGAGATTCACCACCATGCGACTAGTTTGATACTAGGACCGTGGTGGATCCTGGTATTGGTTTACTCTTAGCTAATTTTCCTGTTAAAAACTCTGGACTCCTTCTCAGTCTGGGAGACCCTGCGAGGGGATGAACACCCCGTTGTACATCGCAGCCCGACACGCAGGAACGCCTCCCAGCCACGATGAGGCGGTAAACCGTTGGGTGGGATTTTGACTTGCTGCTAATTCAAAACTCCTTAATAAATATATTTAACTATGAACAGAAGACCTCATTTGCTTGTTCTAAGTGTATAACACCTGTTCAAAATACATGTTAATTATGATGTTACATCAAAACCAGTTGCTCTTATGAATGTATGAACTGACACATAGTTTGGTCTCCCGGTGACAAATGGTGAAATTTACAGAAACACTCGTTAGAGCATGGCCGAGTCCGACATCATACTTACAGTTACATTTCTTTGAAATGCACTTTGTGTAAAACGCGAGGTGACTGATTGAAAGACCGAATGGAGGTTATACTTGTAGATTGTCATTAAAGTAAGGGAAAGTAGAAAGTAAGGGAACGTGGTAAGGTGATTTCATATTCAGCGTGGCTCCAAAATGCTGACAACAACCATGAAGGAGCCGATCTGTGTTCATTTTTCTACTTCAAGCCCTCGTATCGAACTACACTTTGCGGGTCTGAAGCTGATTTGTGTTTCCGTTTGGGCTTTATTGACGTTGTTCCTGCCCGATATCCAACTACAACAATTTATAGCTAATAAGTTTTGAATGGAAATAAAATCATAATCATCTGCGTGAAGTGGTGTTAATTTTTCGCGATTACGTGACGAGTTGCGCGTTTCCCATATGGGCGGGGGAGTTCAAAGGACATTGAGTGAATGCCGATGAACGTCGGAGTGCTTGATCTCACCGACCCATTAGTGAGTGAAGAACTACGGAACACCGAGAACTGCTCGAAATGGGTCAACGAGGACAGCTGAACACAATCAAAACCATTTAGTACATGAACAAATGCACAATCACAAATTAATGATATGGTAGACAGCTCTTATGCGGAGTATTTCAGTCACGGGCACACTTGATCTCTGCTCCAGTATTGGAAGCCAGAATTGAGACACAGAGGTCATTGCTGAGCAGTAGTGCCCTCGCCGGATCTCCTTTTCTGAAAGATCGAGAACAACGGTTATCAATATAACGGACCAGTGTAGACACCATAACAAAGTCTCTTAAGGTCGAATCTCGTTTTTCAACAAAAGACGATGATGTCTCAATCAGCTGAGAGGTTGAGAAGTTTGTAATCTGGCCATTCATACACAAGACACTGGTTCTAATATTGGCAGAATAAGTGGAGCCCTTGTATTAAGAAACATGTGCAAGCACACTCTTTTTAACTCTTATCTACACTTTTAACCTTCCATGAATTTCGAGCTGAGCAGTGACAAGACTACCCAATGCGCTCTTGGTGGTAGATAGAAAAGAGCAAAGCATTCGGCGTTGATCAACCCCTTAGAGGATACAGCCATCTATTGGCCCTCATTCTTAGTATCGTAGTGGTAATAAAATGCATGTTTGGCCTATACCTCGCGGTGGCCTACCGATGTATCAGTTCAGTGCTGTTATCCTCTCAGACAAGTCTATAGAAAGCTTGGTGAGCCCTGGGCTCGTGATTGAACTAAAAACTACGTGTGTATTGGAGGGCACCTCTAACCGCTGCGCTGCACGCATGGTGGATACGTGTAGAACACATGAATCATAAAAAGTTTTATGTTGAGATTCATGTCTTGAGGATAAGACACTCTGTACGAAAAGTCTGATATTCTTCGTGTATTCTACCAAAAGAGTCTATGATACTTTATCTTTCAGCTCTTCTGTCCCTTCTGGTTTCCGTCAAGCAGCAGAAGGCTAAACATTCAAAAAAAACGAACGAAAAAACTGCGCATTTGCAGGTAGAATTCGAGAAGCAGTAGTGGGAAAATCTTTCGCAGGCTACAGCACATAACTTTTTGCTCTTATCTTAAGAAGAGTAAAGCATAAAAATTAAAACTATACGATCCTGAAGTTACAGAAAATCTCGTCCTATTACAGTGGGCATCGTTTTAGTCATCGAGAAATTCAAACAGAACCCTTTAATAAAATCTAGCAAAACCGTGTTGTTCACTAAAACTGCCTCAGGGTGTTCACTCACTCGACACGACGAGTACCAAACTTTTTGTATGAGGTTCTATGTGGTGCGGTATTCAATGGAAGGACACGTCAAGTTTTCCCAACGGAGAGGTCCAAGTTTCTCGTTTTTGATCTGTAACCTATCCGTCATCCGTAGACACGCAACGTAGCGTCACTATTCTTCGCGGGCCTCAATCCCTTACAATGATGAGCTCCATGTACATTCCTACCTCATTGCCCATCCCCATCGATCAATCAGAAAACTGATCCTCGCCTCGTTAGGGAGTGATGTACCACCCAATGGTCGGATTACTGTAGTTACTTAATGATAGTCTTGTGATTGCGTCAGCACGCACCGGGCTGGCTCGCCTTCAACAACAACACTTAATTGCGGCTCCAAGGAAACAACGGTACGCCCAGAGTGCGAGTTCTTGTTTGCGTTTTTGACTTCCTATTCTAGATTTTCCTCGATAAAGACTATGATAAAAAGTGCTTATTGTCGACAAATTTGCTGAAGTAATCTTCGCTCATTTACTTTCATTTTCTCCCTATTTTTATAATGGTGGGTTAAAGGATAAAAAAGGATAAGGCTCTCGGCGTCGGTCAATCCATGAGGGATGCGCCATGCATTCGACTTCAATAAGCATCAGTAGAGATGACTAAATGCATGTCTGGCCTTTCCAATGAGTCGCAATGGCCTCCCAATGTATCGAGCTAGTGCTGTTATCCTCCCAGACAAGTTTTGTAGCAATTTGCCGATTCGGGAAAGACAGAAGGCCTGGTGAGCCTGGGGTGCAGGAATCGATCCCATGTTCCGGGGGCCCACATATTGTCTACTATCTACCGCCACGATCGAGGCCCTTGCTTTGATTCTGTCTTAGCCGTGTTCAATCATTTTGTGCATTTCTTTTTAGTACTCGTGCATTTGAATCATTTAAGTATTCACAGTAATATCGCTAGTTTAATAATCAACTAATCGAATAACGGCAACTCAAGCATAGCGCAAGATAAATGACCTCATGTAAATGACTTTATCTTGCAAACATCAGGAGATTGTGTTAGTTACGAATTTCTAGAGCTTCATCAAAGGCACTAATGACTGGTATTGAGCATAAAGTTCTATAAGTAAGCCTCACCGGAGGCCGTTCGCCCGAGTGCCATCGAAGGTGCGCTTTAAGATGACTGCTCTTGTTGTAAACCTTTCCACAGCCGGCGATGTGGCAATTGTGAATGCCTCGTTTCTTTACCGGTACGTTATTTATTCCTGAAATGAGTAGACTATCCATTCATAAGCGTATGATCATGAGCATTTCTGTATTTGTTGGAGAAAGTGAAACTCTCTTCATTACAACTGGAATCCAAGAAATAACATTGAAGAAATTGTGCAAATTCTTCCAAAGACTCCGAAAGAAGTCGCCTTCACTATTGAGAAAGTGAAAATCACAGTAAGAAGGAACAATAAGGAAATGGTGGAAAAGAGATTTGTTATCAGCAGCGGTAGCACCGGCCTTTCTGTACCTGAACCCTGGATGGACCCTCTTAGTGCTCTCCGAGGATTCCCGTGCATCTGCATTCTTTGAATTCTTGACATAGAGCAGCAAAGCTATAGTAGGCGTTATGTAGGCAGAGTCAATTTTCCTCTTTAATTTCTTTTATTCGTCCTGAATTCTATCGCCTTTTCCCTCTTTTTTCCTTCGATAACTTTCACGCCGACCTTTTTTTGTTTGAAAATCTAAAAAAGGTGTGTTGTAGGTGCAATCGGTGTTTATCTGTTCTCATATCTCGAGACCATAGATATGCATGGGAGCAGCGGAGTAGCACATTATAGCACATCTTAGAGATAGAATCGCTGTCTGATCAGGAGATAGCCGACAGCGAAAAGACCACCTCCGCCGCTTGTTGCTAATCCGGACACTGTCCGTCAGCGGAGGAATCCATGCCTGATAGAGAGAACACGAGGACGAAACGACCACCCACTAATCGTTATTTGTTATGTCTCAAAACTATGGGATGTGATTTCGTAGGATGGAACTATTTACATTTTTACGTCGAGCAGTCTCTAAAAGAAGATAATAACAATTGAGTTGATTGCTTCCAACAACTATATTTCTGGTCGTATTAAGCAACGTCTTATCAAAACGTGGGAGGTGATCCGAAATCTTTAATAGATATAAAATGGCTTTTGTAAAACACTGTTAAAGACCTTAGGTAAGATGATTTTGATGAAAAGAATTTTGAAGATGCAAAATCTTTCCTATAAAGGCTGAAAGAGGGGTTATCCTCACAAAAAAAAGACGCAAAGGGAAATTAAGGGAAACAGTGCACTGTAGATAAACTTAAGCCTTACTCTACTATCGTAAGAGTCAAAGGCAAATGATTTAGAGGTGTTGAACGTCGAATTTTGTAGAGAACAATAATCGCCACTAATAACGCAGGGTCAGGAGTAGTACTGGTATGCCTAGTAGTACTTTCCCATCGAAAAAATTAGTTACGAAAGTCTGCAAACAGCGATCGAGATGAATCATCTGAGTACGAGTTTCACTTTTGACAAACCACTACAAGGAGTAAACGTTTGCGGACGTTTCGAAAACAATCGAATTGACGATTGCACAACTGGAACACTAACGTTGACAATTGCGGTCATTGGGCAGAAGCGAGTTCCATAATAGCCTACAGTATGCCTAACGGTGGTGCTAGGTATCACATTAGTTTTTCCTGAAATTTTCCTGAAACGCAAGAGCAAACGTTCTTGGACGAAGTGCTGGGACTAATCTCGAAGTCGTATTAAAGGACCGAAACACGCAACGCAGAAGGTCATGTAAAGAAATTTGCTGAAGTTTTAACCGAAGAAAGATCATTTCTTAAAAAATAACTGGAATGAATATTAAGAGTTCTTATGGTTACTAGACTCGTAACTTGTACCAATAGAATAGTCTTTTCCACATTAAGGTTCGGCTCCAGTTTTTCATTAGTGGATTTTTGAGAGTTCCAAGTTTTGAGCTTCCTCGTTCTTAGATCCCGCGACGGATTCAAAAGGCATAGAGGGTTTGCGTAACGTGAGACCTTGGAAAACTATTATCGAGCAAGATATACTGCCAGGGGAGAGGCGTTGAGGTTATGCAATGTTACGACCGATACGATCTCTGTGGCACTTTGGCGACGCTCCTAGAACGTGAGCGAGGGTGTAACGTTATTTGAGCAAACTACATCTAACCAAGAACAAGAGCGCATGTGATTCCTTATTCCTTTAAGTAAGAAATTGGAAAGTCTCCCTTACTAGAGCACCTGTTTTCTATTGAATCAACCCACACTTTTGTTGGATAGCTGGCAGATATCTGCATCAGCGCAACCGTAAAGAAAAGAGATGAGCATTAGCAGAACTAATTAAATTTGCTATCAAAAGCTGCTATTGTTATTGTTCACTAATATTGTTCACAGGAATTAGATACGGTAATAGTAGCAATGCCGTTCATCACGTCCGCGGCGTTGGTTTGACCCGCAGTGAGCACACCAAGCCGCCCATCCCTCTAAGGTTCGAAAATTTTTACCAAACTTGTATGGGATCAGCTCATCTTTCCAGCCCAAAGCCCTTTGGCAGAGCTATATCGATGAGGGAGAATCGAGTCGACTAGCATTCAACAACATTTGAGAAATCGAAAAAATCTCGAAGCAGCAAGCGGGCCCACGCGTAGTGTTCGAAGATTGTCATGGGCCATGGATGCGAAGGAACGAATCGAGTACAAGAAGTGCTCGGTTCTGAGTACTACACGTAAATTCGGGTGACATAGAAAAAAACACTGTTCACCAATAATTTTGACATCAACAACAACCGTGATGTTTAAAAGAGCGTCGCGGGGTGTGTTCGACTCATGCTCAACTGAGGAAGACCCGGTTCGATGCGAGACGAAGACGCTACATCGAGAAAAGAAACAACTGCGGGTCATCGACAAGGACCGTTGGCTCTGATGAGGATGAAGACGTCGAAACGTTAGCCGAATAAACATATCGTATCAACTTCGTGTAAGTTCAACAATATAAACAACTGTTCACCAAATTTATCAGTCAAATCTGATTCTCGCACTGTTTCCTTAATTAGTGAACGTTTATTTCATTTTGAGTCGAAAAAAAATTACTCATGGGAACACGTTAGGAACCACAGCGGAGCAGTAATGGTTTTTATGGACGTGCAATTATCGTTGGGTCGAACTTCGAAACTGCCAGTTTTTCATGGCCGTATTTACTGGCTTTGTCCTAAAGAATGGGACCTAGTACATGCATCATGGACATTCACAAATAGTAATGAGAATGGTAGAGTCAGTGATGACGCTAATATTGTTACTGATAAGTGCTCACCTATTCGTTCGGCTTCCACGCAATTTGGACACTCACAATTTCCTCGAGGGAATTTCCCACCGCCAGCTGTCCCAGGAGCTTTTCCAAGCGTTAGCCGCTGGTTCAGCGTAGACGTCGATGGTGGCACGGAAGACAAAAAGCCTAACTGTGAGGAAAGGTAGGGAGAGTAAGCGTCTACTGAGGTATACGGTAGTGGCCAAGTACTGGTTTGATCCCACCTGGAAATAAAGTGAATTTAAATGGTGTTTTCTTTCTTAAGTAACTACAACATTAGAATTATTTGTAAACTTCATTATCCGTGGGTAAAATTCATTTATTAGAAGCATCTTACACTACTTGTTTTCATACAATCCTAACATGAATCTTCTTTTGTTATAAAGTTTCTATCCAAGCGTGAGTGCTTTCAGAGTGCTGTATTTTCATATTGTCATGAAACATTAAGGCGCTTAATTAAAAAGTCATGAAAAATAAAAAAGAAGGGTTTGTGACTGAAAGGGAAGCGTAGCGGAGAGGAATCATTCCAGACTCACCATGTTGCTGTTGGCCAATAGTGTTGGTACTGTGGATAAGCGGCGTCAGTAGCAGTTGGGGATTTCTCCACTGCCGGTTTTGACTACAAACAAACCACTTTCTCATTAAATAATGCAATAGGCTTAACAGTACCAAACTAAACGTATTTCCTCTTGAAGGCGTAGCACAAGACGGTGTTCAAATTGGGTGGAAATGGGAGAAAGAAAATGACCTCAAATTTAAAACCAGGAACGCTAGCCCTTAATAGAAAGGCTGAGAGAAAATTTATAAAGTAGAGCAAAAGGAGAATTGTTTGAGTTTTGATTTCACTTGGAGTACACCACCACTAGAAATGCGTCACTTTGCATAGGAGAGAAACTCTTCAATCAAAAACAGCGGTGTGGGTAAGAAGTGTCATCAAAATCCCTGGTGTTTAATAAACTCTGTAAGGTTGCATTTTGTCGGAACGCTTCTGTATAGACAGTGGGAGCCTAGCTTTTTCTAATAGTAATATGTCAACAGACAAAGCTGGATATGCATCTATTTAAGTTAACGAGGTTCTAGGAAAGAAGAGAAAGTCGTTGACTTAATGAAAATATTGAGAACAATGGAAGCATAGATTGTCTATACCTACTTCAAGCTTGTCCAGGATGACGTTTGCATTAAGACGACTGCATTGTTCCATCAATTTTCCAAGAGGGCCCTGATCATTCTAAATGTTCCATATACAAAAATATCATGACATCTCGCATTATATTTGGAAGGCCGCCCACAGTCCACAGTGCCGCCCAATGAATGTCCTCAAAAATTCCAGAAATCAAAGTTCTACATGAAAAATGACCTTGTTTGAACGCTCTGAACCACAGCATCATCCTATATACTACCACGTTAATAAAGGGGCTCAAGAACAGAAAGAACGCAAATGATGATTAGGCCGTCGTCGCTGCACAATGCTGTTATTTGCTACACATAATCATATCCTCCAGTTGCAATAAAACGCTTACAGAGATAGGTTTGTCACGTTGGAATAGGCTGTCAAAGACTACGCAAAGCTGAGGCAGTACTCACAGAAAGAGGTAGCATCGGAGGTGGAGCTGGGATCGTTGACGTTGCTGTGCCGGACGTCTGATCCGCACTGTTCATACCGAGCATGTCTGTGATGGTCGACGCCACGCCCCGCAAGAAAATGAGAAAGCCGCTACCGTAATCCGCAGACGAATAACGCGGAATGACGTGATGTCTGCAGAGACGATGGCTACGACGGATAAAGTGCAATGGTACTGCTAAGTGAACCTTGTTACCAGTTGTCAATTGCAGTGGGAACGAAGCGACTTGCTGACGGCGTAGTGTTCAAGTCAGATTTGGGTGTACTGCCGTAATTGCTACATACGGTAGGCAATTGGCTGTGTGGCATTGCGTGTGATTCCAGGTGTGATCTTCTGCAAAGACTATGCCGCCGCAACAATTAGAAACGTTGTTAACGCTAGCGCGTTTCCCATCACTACCGCCACCGAGGCGAACTTGGCACTTAGCACTTAAAAAAACAAGTGAAATGTAGAACAGACCGTACGGCACCAGAGTGTCACGCAGCAGACAGCAAAGCGCTGTTATGAACAATCGCTTCCAAGAATGCGAAAAACGAAAGACGCCAGCATTTCCTAAAGAATTTTTTTTATTAACTGTCTCGCATTGAACAGATTAGTAAATTAACTGTTGTTACCCGCTGTCTTTTAATTTGGCTACTATTAATAAATTAAATTTGGATTGTGCCCATCCACGAACTTCCAACCCGAGAATTGATCGTCGCTAATGCTAGGCGTATAATTTTAGGCTTCCGTCTCATTAAAGCATTTGTGCATCTGGGTGGGGATTCATGAATTGCGAAGCGAGAGCACGCTGCCCTTATGGCCCTCTATATCGCTGCTATATTTCTGCTTTATGTTGTCTCTGATGGCACCTGATATCCTGAGGAGGTAACCTCACCCGATAACGGAACGAATTTGTGCCAAAAGTTACTGCTTATTAACTATCACACCTCTCTGGGTGGGTTTCAGCACAACACGAGGATACTAATAATCAAAGGAAACAATACTTAGAAAACCAAAACTCGTTCTTTCAATTTTCAGCTTCAACATTATTTACGTCACTTGCATTCTTAGGTTAAGACATTGGACTACTGAGAAGGCTTTGGTCTGCTTCATTATTTTTGTTATTGTTTGTTATTTTTATTACTGCCTGCTAATTACCATTGAAGTGGGACAAACAGATTTTGAATAGTTGTGATCGAGTTGGAAACATATTACGACCACTGCTTTTTAATTAGTTAACGTGACACAGTCTATTCCAGCTTGCCTGGCGAAATATTCATAACATACGGTGCAAGAGCGCCCGAGGAAGACAGCGCGCCATTTCAGCTGCAGCTAATCGCCTTCGTTCTCGGAGAGAACCTACCATTTGCTAGTCACCCGCTGAGCGTTGCTCTTGGCATGTCAGATGCCCTGACTCGCCAACTACACTAATGCAATTAGCACGAAGCTACAAGCACAGCAGGTGAGGAGAGCGAGACGGGATGCAAGAAAACCCAGTGCTGGTGCCCCTACTAACATCATATCTGGAGACCCTGGAGATTCAATTTATGAATTCAGCTGTTGTAATAAGGACAAAAACCCAGAGTTGTTCATTATCCAATTTTCAAACGTGCGTTTAATACATGTTTTGAATTATCAAATATTCGAGAAGTTTGTGCTGTCATATATGAAACCTCTTTCGCTTCATAATTTCCATTATTGGCGAGCACCACAACATTTCACAAGAGGAATGCTTTCACTGACAAGCGTTCATTCAGGCGCAAAATCTCGAAGGAATGGATGTTCACTGCTAAAGATGAATCCTCATTTCGGTCCAGAAATCGGAAATCGATGTTTTTCGAAATCCAGCTTGTCTAGGGGACACCTGTGCCGATCGTTTGTTGCGCTCAATGGCGTGTGAAATTCCTAATGGCTGGGTTCAGTGACTGGGGCCGTGGAACAACGCAGGTCGATGGTGTGAACCATTTCGTTTGGGGACCTCGACCGGTGAACACTAAACTTCGATTAGTTTCACCTTAGAACGACACTTTACCTTTATATGTCATGATTTATCATTTCTCGAGATGGGCTTGGGTAAGACGAAGAAAGCGGTCGCATTCATGGAAGAAAGTTGAATGTTCTAACATAGGTGGGACCCTAAAATATCATGCACCTAAAGATTATGATTCCCATTGAAGGTTTGTATGGCGAAACAGTAATGAATGAATGCCTGTGGGAACGAGTGGCTTAGTACCTTTTACATAACTGAAAAATGTGACCACTATGTAGTCGCTTTTATTCACTGCCTATTCTTTTTCATGGTAGGGTATGGTGGTAAAGCTTGGTGTAGCTGGTGGCACATGGTACAGCTTCAGCTTAACAGGGTTAAATGCCTATTTGTGCTGCCTAGATCAAACCTGTTGACGGGTGAGTGATAGCTGATAGCACATGTAGGTTAAAACACGGCTGAGAGAAAGGCGAAACGAAGAATCCGCATAGTGTAGTGGTGCGCATTAACTCCCGGAAGCTGTAATATCGGGTTCAAAAACCTGCGGAGTTTTGCAAATACCTCAGAGCCATTATGTGACCACTGTTAATCTATGAGCGCGAGAGCAAGAGGTGAAACTGGTAAAAAATAATTCTGAGTGTGAAGAGAGGCTTGAAATAATAAGGATGTTCAAAACCTTCACAAATAATATTTTGTTAACCAAAACAAGTGATGGAGTGTGGTTTGTGTTGCATGAATTCTAAGCTGGAGTACTCGGTGATGATGTAAGTTGAAACTGAGCAAATACCATAATGGTAGTTGTTACTGTTCTAAAGACGACAGTAAATATATAGACTTATCGAATATAGAATTAGATTCATAGAACCCTCAGAACTTGTGGATGAGTGTCACATCTTGACTACCGAAAAAGCCACCCTAATTTCAAACTGGTAGGAGTAGCATCATAGCTCATTTTCATGGGAGACTTCGTTATGGACTTGTACTCTCTTCGTGTGGGTTGCCGTTGAATTCTACCTTCCGATTTTGTGAAACGGTTGCTGAACTGTGAAGAGCTTTCGACTTAGAAGGAACTACTGAAGTATTTGCTTGGCCAGGTTTCTTCCAACTGATTCATTTCCGTTCTCACGTAGAAGATTGCTCATTTTTGATGTATTGGTTGTCAACCGATTGCACGATGACGTAACCCTCCATCCGACAACTAGCAACTTCAAGGTCGTCACAAGCAAATCACTCACGACCAAACACTTTCTCACAAGCAAACATCACTAGCATACTCTAATAACCTCTTCTTTTTCTACATAAATATATCGTTTCATAGCTTTTCGTTAGCTCATGATCCATTTAGGTTGTCGTGAAGAGTGTTTCATTGTAATGGAACGTATTTAGAAATTGGACAGACCAACACCAGAACTGGCACTAGTAAAGTATACAGCCGAACCCGCCAAGTGTCAGAGTTGCTACTTTTTTTTTGAAAAGCGAGCACTCAGCTAAGGCCAATGGGGGCCATTGTTCTATCAGGTTTCTGCACTTTTATGCTAACCATATTCGTTGCATTTCGGCATCCATTAGTGTCAAGTTGCTCAGACAAACAAGAGTTATTGTTAATCTCGCGCTAATCTGTAGGCACAGTATATCTTTCTAACGCGCAACAATACCTCATTATGGGATTAACGGCTGCGAGAGCCATTCACTGACAAATTCGACCTGTTCACTTAGGTAATTGAGCGTATAAGCTGGAAATCTAAGATGATTCAGGCAAGAGGTTTGAAAACTGCTGTGGTGAAGGAAAACCAAGCATATCCAAATAGTTTTCGCGTGCTAAACGCTTAGACATTAACTGATTGAATCGAGTAGGGCTTTCTTGCGATCCGACGTTGACGGTAGATTCATGCTGTACTCGAACTGTTCGACTAAACACGAACCACTGTGTGTGCGTGAGACGGCATCGGGCCAGCCAAGAGGCCACTTCAGCACTGTTGTGATAAACATCGTTTAGTGGAATACGGTAGGATTGAGTGAGATAATAGTTACCTTTCATACGCATTTGAAACTAATTGCAGCTTGCGGTCGTCGTTAGAAAACCATCGCTGCTATAGTGAAAGAAGATAAATGGCTAGGGAGCCAGCAACGACGCCGCGATGAGAAAGAAGGTGTAATGCTGACGACAGGCTGGCCGGTCGTCCTTATGCGGGTCCTACGGAGAAAGGCGAGTTTCGGCGAATTCGAAGCGTCTCGCTGTTGGGGAGGGTCTCCACTATTCCCGGTTCACGTTGGTGGTAGCATCGGTAGTGCTTGATATGTTACGGTCCATTCCCGCTTTTTATTCGAAACTCTATGGTTTTTATCTTCCCTCTAACAACTGACCAAAATTATACATAGGAATTTTACTAGCACTAAGAAGGGATTGAGAGTCAGACGGCCAGGTGATGGCGGATCGCTCGGCGATGTGTTGAGTGCCAAAGTTCACGTTTCTACGGCGAACGCTTGTTCTCGCTCCAACAGGTTTCTGCCCTCGATATTGTGACGATTATTAAAATTCCGTTTTTCTTTTCAAATTGTATTCTATGCTCCAGTTGTTATTGTGGGACGTTTTGGCCATTGTAAACAGGGCCGATATGTTATTATAGTGGTGCTAAAATCCATTTTTTATTGGAGTTCTCCTTGTTTCTATTAGCCTGTACAAGTTCGTTAGCAGTGCTAGACTTTCCTTCAAGACCTAGATTCTAAGTTTTTTAGAATCCATCCTAGGTAAAAACAGTAGGGCATGGATAAAAGGTTTCGACTGTGTCTAGAGCGTTCTTGATAACAAGCAGTCAGAGAAAGCAAATCATTGACTAATCAGAAATCTCAGTAGAATCATCTGTTCAAATTTCAACCTACAAAAGTCTTGCATAGATCTTTAGTCCATATTCTTGAAAGTGAGTGAGAAAAATCATACGAATCCGTCTACAGAAGTCCTCCATTCGCGTCGTGAGCTATTTCAGGTATGAGGGACGAGTCCAGTTGTCCACTTCAAGATTGCTGCTATGCATTTTTGTTGAACTTCCAAAATAAAATGAGGCTTCCTCCACTGATTT